GAGGCGAAACCAATGTGTTGCTCAGTTAGTTGTAATGTTTATGCACCATTTAGAATATTTTAGTTCGGAAATATAGAGAATACCGTCACTGAATTGCATTACATTTGCAATTACTTTTAGCATACTTTTTTGCCTTTTCAATTAAACTATCAGTGATTAGAGGAGCTCCTGGTCCCAAAGACAAAAGCTTTAAGTAGTCATGGGGAGTCCTCCCGTCATGAAAGGTGCTATATAAATGTAATTTTGTTGTTGTTTAAGTGGATTGTCCTTGGGAGAAAATGGCATGAGTGGTACAATGTAGATAATTAAAACACAATTATGAGCAGATGGAAGGTTTCAACTATCCTTGTTCATTCCCTGACGTATTCAGCATTGTGCAAAACCTTTAAATCTCACCATTGGTAAATGTTATTCCGTACAAACAGCACAGTAATAATTACATTATGATACAATCCAATACAGTACCATCAACAGATGGCACATCAAAGTACCGGCACAATGCACCTGCAGTTCTTGTCATAATAACAAGCACCTATAATTTCTCCTCCTAAAGCATTACAGATGGTAGCAGCAGCAGGCCATTATCAGAAACTGAAAATTTACAGCTTTTTAAAAATATGATAATCTGGTCAAGCAACAATAATTTAATGTGCTACAGACGGGGAGTCCCAGATTTCACAACCAACTTCGTTCAATGTTCATACTTCATATTTTAGAAGATGGGGTGATTCAACTGAAGCAAGATGATCCAGCACTGGACCCAGCAAAAGCAAGCTGTTCTACAAATATACAGAACCAAAATATTTTTTAAAGAACTTGCAATCCACAAGTAATGTCTAGTGCAGTGACTGATGTTCACAGGCAAATGCAACAACCATTCTGCTTACAAGAAATTCCATAAACAGCCATGATGTGAATGGCTGGTAGGATACTGCGAAAATATCCGCTCTATTTTTAAGTGCCGTGGGACACTTGAGTGCAGTGCGGGCACGTATGCTAGCTTGGCTCAGGGGTAGCACTCGCATCTTTGAGTCAGAAGGTTGTGGGTTCAAGCCCTATGTCTCTGGACTTGAAACTCATACAGTCTAAGCGGACACTCTAGTGCAGTGCTGGATGTGTGCTGCATTGTTGGAGAAGCTGTTCTTCAGATAAAATGTTAAACCGAGGTCCCATCTGACCGAGGTGTTTGTTATAATAATAATAATAATCCTTGCATTTAATATAGCGCTTTTTCACGTCTTCTCGACTTCTCAAAGCTCTTCACAGAATATACTGTAAAGTGAATTGACTGCATATTTGTGGGCGAACGCAGCAGCCAATTGCGCACAGCAGTGTCCCACAACAGTCGTGGATTGAAAATGACCAATTTATTATTGTTTCTTTTTTGGAGGGATTATTATTAGGCATGTGGAGTAAGGAAACTTGCCCAAGGTTTCGCCCTGCCTGGAATTGAACCCAGGTGTCTCACTTGCAAGGCGAGCGCTCTAACCACTGAGACTCAGGACTCCACATTTCATTTTCATTGTTCATACATTTCATTGCTCATACATGTCAAAGTCTCTGCCTGGTTATATAACAAAACACAAAATCTATAAACTGCAGTCTTAATATCAAAGCTAAAAATCAACGTCAGGTCTATCTCAGTCCATTAGCTTTATGATGTGTTTCTATTTCAGAACATTCTCAGAGTTATGGAACTATTCAAGAATCATTGACAACAACAACAAAATTACATTTGTATAGCGCCTTTCACATCGGGAAGATGTCCCAAAGCCAGTGTTTTGGAATCGAGCTGGGGTTCGGGATCAGGGCGGGTGGAGTGCAATGGGGGAAGGAGGGTGATCGAAGGCAGGCTCGAAGAGGAGGGTCTTGAAGGCAGCGAGGCGGAGCAACTGCAGGAATGAGTTCCAGAGGATGGGGGCAGAGTGGCTGAAGGCTCACCCTCCAATGGTGAGGTGGGTGACGCGGGGGACATGAAGCAGGCCGGAGCCCACTGAGCGGAGGGAGTGGGCAGGTTGGTAATATTAATAATAATCCTTGCATTTGATATAGCGCTTTTCACGTCTTCTAGACGTCCCAAAGCGCTTCACAGAATATACTGGAAAGTGAATTGACTGTATATTTGTGGACGAACGCGGCAGCCAATTGCGCAGAGCAATGTCCAACAAACAGTCGTGGATTGAAAATGACCAATTTATTATTGTTTTGTTTTTTGGAGGGATTATTATTAGGCGTGTGGAGTAAGGAAACTTGCCCAAGGTTTCGCCCTGCCTGGAATTGAACTCAGGTCTCTCGCTTGCAAAGCGAGCGCTCTAACCACTGAGTTACAGGACTCTACAGGAGGTCGTAGAGGTAGGGGTAGCAAGGCCATGGAGGGCTTTGAAGGTGAGGACCAGAATCTTGAACTGTATCCTCTGTGTGATGGGAAGCAAGTGGAGTCGGGCGAGAATGGGGGTGATAGGGTCACAGAGCCGGGTGCGGGAGAGGACATGGGCCACAGAGTTCTGGATGATCTGTAGCCCATGGAGGGAGGAGTTGTGGAGGCCAACAAGCAGGAAGTTTGCGTAGTCAAGCCTGGATGTTATGAATATGATGTATGTATGAAGGTTTCGGCGGCCTGCGGTGTGAGACAGTGGCGGAAGGCAGAGTTGGGGGAAGGCAGACTGGGTCAAAGCACTGATGTGAGGTAGAAAGGTTAGTTGAGGGTCAAACAAGATGTCATGGTTCTGGACTGGCTTCGGTAAGGTGGAGTGTGCATCCTCGGATAGTGCAGGAGTCAATCAGGAGAGCCTCGGTCTTGTTGATGTTCAACTGAAGAAAGTTAGGTCTCATCCAGGACTTGATGTCTGACAGACATTCTGCCAAGACAGCAGTGATCCTGAGCTCGAGAGTGGAGGCAGAGAGATAGAGTTGGGTGTCATCCACATACCTGTGGAAATTTACCTTATGTCTGCGCGTGATGTCATATAGAGGAAACATATAGATGTTGAAGAGGAGGGGACCAAGGACAGACCCCTGAGGAATGCCACACGAGAAGGTGCGGGGGCTAGAGGAGAAACCATTTGTGTAGGTGAAGTGGAGATGTGTGAGAGGAAGGATCTGAACCATTCAAGGAAAGAACCATGAAGGTTGAGGTGAGAGGAGAGGCGGTGAAGGAGGATAGAGTGGTCAACAGTGTCGAAGGCAGCAGAGTGGTCAAGGAGGACGAGGGAACCCTGGTCGCAGATAGACATTTGTCAATTTGACCAAAGCTGTTTCTGTGCTGTGGGCGGCATGGAAACTCGATTGGAGCTGTTCGTGAAATGAGTGATGGGAGAGGACGGAGCGAAACTGAGAAGCAATTACGCGTTCCAGGACATCAATGGACTATCCAATACCCTGAACTGAGATCACGTCAGGTACAGGGTATGTGTTTTTTAGACAAAATGTTTTGGACCCATCTATGTAACACTCTTTTTTTGGTTAGCCTGGAGGCTGACACGTGCAGAAACCCATCACCATGCTAAAGAGTATCCAAACCAGACAGTTTCATATATGTATGCCACTTACATATGGAAATCTCCGTGCCTAGAAATGGAATGGACACTCTTCACTTTGAAGGGACACACCCTACTTACCCAATTCCAGAGTATTGTGTAGGTGGGAAGCACCAAGCTTGGGGACCCTAAACTACTTGTGCTGCTGGAGTTTAACCAGCTAAAACTACACCGCTCATCATTGAAAGCTCTGTCTGGCAAGCTTGTCAATATTTGTCCAGCTAGGACCACCCTACCCTTTTGGGCTTTGGCAGGCTGTCATCAGGAATGCTCTGGAGACCTGTAGACCAGCCTACTTCAGGAACTGGACTACCAACGCCATCACAGAGAATTGACTCGATTCTGACATTCTGGCAAGAAGCATGTCACCTTGGATCCAAGTGATACTCTTAAGCAAGAAAGTTAATGGGATCTTATGCCTTATAATAATAATCCAGTCAGGAGGATGTCCCAAAACGCTTCACAGAACACTGTAAAGTGAATTGACTGTATATATGTGGGCGAACGCGGCAGCCAATTGCGCACAGCAATGTCCCACAAACAGTCGTAGATTGAAAATGACCAATTTATTATTGTTTTTGGAGGGATTATTATTAGGTGTGTGGAGTAAGGAAACTTGCCCAAGGTTTCGCCCTGTCTGGAATTGAACTCAGGTCTCTCGCTTGCAAAGCGAGTGCTCTAACCACTGAGCTACAGGACAGGATTATAAACAGATAAAGAATATAAAACCAAAGTAGTGCTGCTCAATCTGTATATACAACAATAACAATAAAATGACATTTATAGAGCGCCTTTCACGTCGGGAGAACACCCCAAAGCGCTGAACAGTCAGGTTTTGGGGCAAGATTTACTGTAAAGTGTATTGACTGTGTATTTGGAGGTGACTGGCAATACTATTTAAGCCACAGAAATATTGTGTCCAGTTTTGAACCGTTTGAATATTATGTCCAGTTATGAACCGTTTGAATATTGTGTCCAGTTTTGCTTTCAAGTGGCATCTTAGATATAGTAAACTACTGATAAATTGTTACTCCAAGAGGAAAGGGCTCAGTATCACATTATCCAGAAGAGCTTTACCTTTACAGTATATCTGTGCAATTGGCTGCTGCGTTTCGCCCACAAAATACAGTCAATTCACTTTGTGTGAAGCGCTTTGAAACGTCTCGAAGACGTGATGAGGCGCTATATCAAATACAAGGAGTGTTATTATTGTTGTTGTTGTTGTTGTTAAAGCTCAACCAGAACTACTAATAATAACCAAAAGGTTACAACAACAATTAATGGGAATTAAAATAAAAATCGTTGTGAGGTTAACACGTGGGGCCATTAAAATAACCGGAGGGGTATCCCCGGCCCCGCGCCCGGGCCCGAGACCTCACACGCGGGGCCCGGGGCCGGGCCTCGAGCTGTGCCCTCACAGCCCCCCGACCCGGGCCCTCACCACCGGGGGGGCGGGTTACTCACCAGCCCGTCGATCTGAACCTGTTTGACGGGAGACTCGAGCTGAGCGGCCGCCGCAGCCGCGGATGTCGTCGCAGCTTCTCTCCTCGCCGCCATTTTCAGAAAGGAACCGGAAGGAAGGAGAGGGGGAGGAGGCGGCAATGTGGGCGGGTTGGGCGGGTTTGGTTGTATTTGCGCCTGTGGTTTTTTTTAAACCCCCCCCCCTCCACACACACACACACACACACGGCTTCGGGCGGCAACCTAAAGTTTTTATTTGTATCAATTAATGAATTAATTAATTTTAAAACCTGCTAAACGGAATATCGGGCTAGTATTGGGTGGGTTTGGGTTAGTTTGGGGTGGCTTTGGGCTAGTTTTGGGTGGGTTTGGGCTAGTTTGGGTGGGTTTGGGCTAGTTTTGGGTGGGTTTGGGCTAGTGTTGGGTGGGTTTGGGCTACAAACGCGTTGTCACGCCGGAGCGGAAGCGGAAGCGTGGGGGGGGGGGGGGGGGAAGGTGGTGGAGGAGAGAGTGTGTGAGTCTGTGGACGGTTTAGGCCTCACTCGCGCGCGCTCTCTCTCGCTCTCTCTCTCTCTCGCTCTCTCGCCACCGCCATGAAGATTAAGCGGCAGAAAACGGCGAAGAAGGTGCTGGGCTTTTATCAGCACAACCTGGGCTTCCGGCAGCCTCACCAGCTGCTGCTGGACGGCACCTTCTGCCAGGCGGCGCTTCTCCACAAGATCCAGATCAAGGAGCAGATGCCCAAGTACCTGATGGCCGAGGTGCAGCTCTGCACCACCGGGTAAGTGCCCCCCCCTCCCCCTCCCTCCCCCCCACCGCGTGCGGTTAACACGGCGGGTGCTGAAACCGCCACAGGTACGGCAGACTGTCTGACAGACGGTGGAAGCAGAAAGTGGGGGTTCCTTCGAGCAGGGTTCAGATCGGGCGGATTTCCGTCAGCGAACAAGGATCTCAAGTGCGCAGTTGCCGGACGTGACGTGACGTGGCGCGGGCGAGCGACTGGCTGACCCGGGGATGGTGGAAGGCCCAACCGGATGGACCTTTGGCGCGGGGCAGTATCGCGGAGCCACGGCCACAGCGCCGGAGCCTGACGCTGACCGCGAGCCTGTAAACTGCAACGCCACCAACAGCAGCAACTTGCATTTATATAGCGCCCCGTCACGCGGAGCAGCGTCTCGGTTGAACTGCTGAAATAAGACCCCCCTTTTGCTTTCGGTTAATTCTCCTTCGTTCACTCTCACTCGGAGGTGGGGGGGTGGGGTTGGGGAGAAGGGGGCACTATTATTTTTGAGCCTGTTAATTCTGCAGTTAAACCAATGACAGGTAGGGTTGGGCCAAGCTGGATGAGCAGCGGGAAGCTTAAATAATAATAATAATAATAATCCTTGCATTGAATGTCTCAAAGCTCTTCACATGATATTGACCATTTGAAAAATTCATTTCCTTTTCATTTGTTGTAGAGTGAACCGGGCAGTCAGTTTGCACACAGCGATGACCCTCAAACTGCCACCCAATTCTATCTGGGGGTATTGTTGGCCAAGACATTGGGAGGAACTCTCTTTACTTTCTGAATAGTGCTATGGGATCTTTAATACACATCTGAACATGCAAGCTTTCCCTTTCATGCTGGCATGTTGTGTGGTTTTAGCTGATGAAACTCCAGCAGCTGTCTTTCTCCCCCATGTGCATGGTCTGTCCGTTCTCTCCGGGTTTGGTTCCAGCCAACCTGCACGTAATACTCTGGTATTAGGTAAACGGGATACATACTCCGTACCAGGCAAATGTAAACCTTTCACATGTGGAAATATCAGTGCGTTTGTTTAAAGGCTTGTAGGCACTGTGATGGGTTTCTATTTGTGAGACGCCAAGCTGACAAAAAAATCCATAAATCCTGACATAAAACTTCAATCCACCTTGTACTTTGCACTGATATAGAGCGAGAAACGTACCTACTGAAACATTGTATTGTTTGTTTCTGTTTTCCAGCTGTGTTCTGAAAGAATTAGAATCACTCGGAGAAGAAGTGTACGGGGCAAAATTAATCGCCCAACGATTTCAAGTTAGAAGTTGTCCACATTTTAAAAATCCAGTTGCCGCCTCAGTTTGTTTGTTGTCAATGGTTCAAAACAACAACCCTCATCATTACTTTGTCGCCACACAGGTATTTTTTCCCATCCTGTAATGGGAGAATGTTGATATTTATTATCTAATTCAGGGTGGTCCAACCTTTTGGCTGCTGAGGGCAGGATGCCAGGTTTGATAAATATCTGTGGGCTGTATAAGCAATATTTTTGTGTTTCCCTCCCTCGGAAGGATGTCTCACAAAGTGCTGGTTGCTGCAGCTGGGCACCTGATCTAGGGGTGACAGTCGGGGTGACAGCCAATGGAGGTGGGGTAGAGGGGAAAAGATGATTGAAAGCGCAGTCAAAGAGTTAGGTCTTGACGTGCCTTGAAAGTGGGGAGGGAAGCAGCGAGTTGGAGGGGCTCCAGAGAGCAGGGGCAAAATGGTGGTGATGGGGCAGATGGGGTGGTACATGAAGCAAGCTGGTGTTTGCTGGGCAAAGGGAATGGCTGGGTCAGGAGATCGCAGAGGTAGGATATGTGGGGGGATGGGTGAAGGCCATAGAGGAGTTTCTCACTGGAGAAAGAGGGAGCTTGCTGGCCAACCCGCTAATTTTCCGGCAAACCATCAGCTTACGGCAGCGGCAGGCGGTTGGGAGGACGCGGTTGATAAGGAGACCCGCTTGCCTTCCCCTCAGCTTGAGAGGGGCTTTTTGATAGGCTGCAGTGCATTGAGCTTCATGAGGGGTAATAAAACTGACGTTGCTGCTGATGTCATTGCCAGGCCCAATTGGAACACCCTGATCTACATATTAAATCAGGTCTTATATTCTTCCAATAAAATATTTCAATTTGATTTCATCAGGATCATCAGTTAACAATGAAAATTAAAAAGCTGCCTGGAGTCCCTCTGCTGTACATCATACAGAACACAATAGTGCTGGAAAAGCCTTCTCCTAAGTCTATTGCACATATTCAAGCGCAGTACAGTAATCAGTTTGTTACTGCAACACAGAAAGTGAATATCCAGCAATTGAAAACAGAACAAGGTTTAGCAAAGGAACACGAATCTCGAAGCAGAAAACGGAAAAGAAAAGGTGGCCCGAATCCTCTCAGCTGTCTGAAAAAGAAAAAGATTCAAATCACAAAGGAAATGAGCAAAGAAAAGAAAAAACTAAGCAGATCAAGGAGGAGAAAGAAAGTAACTGCAAAAAGTGGAAGCCACAATGTAGAAGCACATTGATATAAATTGTAGCACCAAAGTGATTACTTATGCATTTTTCGTATGGGACTTAAAAGTGAGATCAAACAATCTAAATTTAGATCTAGTATGTGTTGACTGTAGACACTGAGTTCCATTTTTCTGCCCACAAAATATACAGTCAATTCACTTTACAGTATATTCTAAACGATTTGAGACGTCTCGAAGACTTGATAAGGTGCTATATCAAATGCAATGATTATTATTGTTTTTCTGAATTTATGATCAAACTTATCTGAAGCGATTTAGGAAAAACAGCCACTTTTCATCACCAATTCAATGATTTTGATAACCCAAAAATCAATAAAACAGAATTTCTTTTAACTTTGTCAATTTAGTTTTCCTTTATTATTAAAGATGAAAAGATCCATTCATCAGACATTTCTGCTTTTTCTAAATATTTCACCATATCGTATAAAATGTTGTGACTAATTCTATTTTATCAGCAGTAAGGCGCTGGACAGTCAGAGATTTGGACCCGAGCAGGGCCTAGGTAGAGTACAATACAAAATTACATCTGTAATTCACCTTGATGGCAGTCAAAGCGCTCAACAGTCGGGGATTAAGAACCAAGCTGGGAGTGGGATCAGGGAGGGTAGAGGGCGGAGAGGGTCAGAGGGTGGCAGAAGCACGGTCAGAGGAGGATCTTGAGGCATGCCTTGGAGACAAGGGAGGAAGTAAGGCAACAGGAATGTGGGATGGAATTCCAGAGAGTGGGGGCAGAGAGACTGAAGTCCTGACCGCAGATGGTGGGGTGGGCCGGGAAGGGAGCATGGAGCAGGCCAGAGCCTGCTGAGCTGGATGTAATGAAAGCATGTATCGGTTTCAGTAGCCTGAGGGATGAGGCAGTGGCGGAGTCAGGCATCGTTGTGGAGGTAGGGGAAGGCTAAGCGGGTCATGGTACAGATGTGGGAGAGAAAGGACAGTCGTGGGCCGAACAAGACGCCTAAGTTACTGACTGACAGTGAGGTGGAGTGTGCATCCATGGATGCTGATGCTGCCAGTCCTGAGGTGAAGATTGGAATGATGGTAAGGTGCTTGAAGGAGGGGAAGGAGTAAGGCGATAGAGGAAATGGGGACCTGGAGATGAGGGCCACACCACTGCCATGGTTGTTAGGACGTGGGGTATGGTGGAAGGTATAGCCAGGTGGTGTGGCCTCAATCGGGAATGTGTCGCCTGGGGCGATCCAGGGTTCAGTGAGGGCCAGGATATCAATGTTCTCGTCAACAATGTTGTTTATGGCGAGTCTTATTAGAAAGGAGTAGGGGTAAATCAGTAGTAGAGTTAAATCGGGAAGAGTGATGTTTCTGTCTTGCAAACAGTAGAGCACAGAATTGGAGATGTTAAGATGCAGGCAGAGGACAGTCCAAAAATTTGAAGATCAGGATATTTAAGTTGATCTCCTGGGGTAATGGGAGCCTGGCAAGAGTAGGACTAATGGATTTGTGGAGTTTTGCCTGGAAAATACAGGATTTGGGATGAATTGGAACAAGTGGAGGACAGAACGAGGGAAACTGGTGATAAGTTAAATGATCTAATCACAAGTTGACAAAAGACATGGATGTGGATTTTAGCTGTAAACGTGATATAATCACGAACAGACAATGCCTAGTCTGACTCCTAGCTGCTTTTTAATGGGCTTGTGGGGTCAGAAATTCACATTCTGGGATTCCTACTCCCTATCACTATCCAGCAACCCATTTACTGATAGTGCACATGTAAGATGTTGGATACAAAATAACATTTGTAAAGCGTCTTTCATGTCGGGAGGACCTCCATCGGTTCTGGAACAGTCAGGGATTAGGACCCGAGCATGGGTGTGGGGGTAAACTCCACTTGGTCACGCAAGGAGTTAGATGAGGCAGTTTGCTCATAACCCTATCACATCTACAGCTGAAATCCATATCCATGTCTTTGTCACCTTGTTAGATGATGTAAGTCCTCACCAGCTTCCCTCACTCCATCCTCCACTTGCTCCAATTCATCCCAAATCCTGTATGGTATAACAATTAATTGCATTTATATAGTCAGTATAAAGATGAATGGGCTCAGTTGTGGATGTTCCTGCAATTGGTAGCCTCCCACCAATCAGCAGTCACAGATAAAAACATGGTCACTTGGACAAGATACCAGAGTGCCTAATGCATTCAAAAACGGTAGCCAGCATTGTATCAAAACCTCCATGACTGGTGGGTATAGGGGAAATCGAAAAGTCATGTACAGTACTTTCAATAGAGCAGTTCAGGAAGATGTTCAGCTGTACATTTGTCCAAATAGTGGAGTACAAAATGTAAAGTAGTCTAGTATATTCTTACAGCGATGACCTAATTGTGCAGGAAGGAATACAAGCGACTCAGAAGTTTTCCAGAAAATCAATTTAAGGAAAGGAGAAATGTGGCTGATCCAGTTTGGCAATTTTTTTCAGCCTGCATTCAACACATCTGGCTATTGCAATTAGAAATCACACTTTTGTGCAGACTGTTACAGCATTTACTGTACTTTATAGTGGTGTCTAAAAGTTACTCATATTTAGAATCATGTGCTCTGGTTCACAATGTACAATATAAAATCATTCACCCTATTGTTTCCTTCTACATGATTCACCTCTCACTCTCAACAGATGCTGGATATCTGTTTCCAGGATATCACTGGTGCTGACCACAAGAGTATCATATAGCAGCCCAAGACCATTGGCCCGCGGATCTCCTTTTCTTGCTATGCAAGAACATTTAGCCTCTGCTCTACATCTTCTCCAACACCTGATCTGCAGCAACATAGATGAGATCTGAGAAAACAATGAGAAAGGAACCCACATTCGACATGTATAGTACAGCATAGTAAACTCTAATGAACAATGTCATTGTTTAAAAAATCTGGTTCACGTATACTCCCACAACCTATCTACACAATAGAAATTCAGTATAAAGGGAGGGATAACATACAATTATATGCACTCAATAATAGTTTGTATTGGCATCAACACAATACTGTAACAAGTATTTTATTAGAAAAGTTATACATAACAGCATGAACTATCACTGTTCAGCAACATTTAGTGATGAACTAATTAAGCAACAAACTAGAAACTCAGTAGGATAAGCAAAACGCTGATCAAAATGAAAGCTTTCATCTTTTCCATAATTAAACATACATTCAAAATTATCTACACATTTTATACAAAGAGGGGAAGATAGGTTCACAGGCACATCATATTTTTAAAAAACTGCATTGTAACACTCTTTTAAAGCATCCTATTATGAATATAATGTATTTAAAATTAATTGAACATTTCAAATGACCTTAGCTGTAATTTAAAGTTTGTAATTCCAGTGAAGAATGGAAAGGTGCTGGTAGACTGCTTTCTCAGTGATGTCTTTATAATATAGATGAACCAGCACACCATCACATAAGTTACATTTAAGTGCAAGTGTAGAATACAAGCTTCTCTATAGTATTGCGCTGCAGATGTTATGAATTTTATCCAGTGACATCTTAGACTGAAAGTGTCAACCAGCAGCATTGGTGTTACACATGATATCTGAACAATGGAATCAATAAAGCCATGATCGTCATGTTTGCAGATATTTATTTAATATTTGAAACTTGATGTAGTTTTGCAAACATAATTTTAGTATAAAACCAGTCAGGGAGTGCAAGTTTTTAACCATAATCACTGGAATACCACCCCCCAAATAAGTCGATTGGAAAGTTTTCTGTGTCCAAAATAATTCTTAAAAGAGAAGAAAAGTCTAGCAGAGAATCTAAACAGGAAGGGCTCCTCCAGACTTTCCTTCACCTTTAACGTAATATTACATAAAAAACACCCTATCAAAGTATTGTAATGGTCTCATATCCCCATATGGGGCAATGCACATCTAGTGAGTGCACACTCGCCGTTTAAAATCAAACAAATCAGACAATACTGAATCTTGGTCCAGGCGTTGCAATGATGTCACTATAAGGCTCAGCCTGTGAAAGCTCGATTGCCTGCTGCTTTTTAAGTACCAAGAAACTGTAGAATTTTGCTGCTGCTTGTTTTCGATTGTTCCTCCGACACAATTCAGCCAGGCTGATAGATTCAGCTCCCGTTTTGACCAATACCCTCTGAAATAAAAATGTGCATTATAATTGACATTGCTACATTTTCTAATCCATCATTTAAAATAACTTGCAATCAAAATAGTCGACTGCATTTTCTAAGATGAGGGAAAAAGCATTCTGAAACGGTTTGTGTAAAATTGTGCAGCAAATAGTTGCTGTTCATAAGTACTCAATTGACAATGTATATTTAGTACAAAGTCATACCGAATAAAAACTTTAAACCGCTAATTTTTTGTTTACCACTAATATTGGTAAACAAAACACAAAATACTGCAGATGATGGAAATCTGAAACAAAAACAGAAGTCATTGGGAACACTCAGCAGGTCAGGCAGCATCTTTGGAGAAAGGAAAGTGAGTCAAAGTTTCGGGTTCACGACCCTTCGTCAGAACTTGAACTTGTGTTCTGAAGAAGGGTCGTGGGCCCGAAACATTGACTCACTTTCCTTTCTCCATAGATGCTGCCTGACCTGCTGAGTGTTCCCAGCGACTTCTGTTTTTGTTTAAATATTGGTAGGTTCATTTGGGGAAAAAAAAAACTCAAAACCAAAGGGGTTTCAAGCAAGCATTCTTTAAGACTGCATTATAATAATTATAATAAATCCTTGCATTTGATATAGCACCTCATCACGTCTTTGAGACGTCTCAAAGTGCTTCACAGAATATACTGTAAAGTGAATTGACTGTATATTTTGTGGGCAAAACATGGCAGCCAATTGGGCAAAGCAGTACCCAAAACAGTCATGGATTGAGAGACCACATTTTTTTNAGGGAATTATTACCACACTGAAGGGGTGGGGTTAGGGTAGCTTTCACTCCGAACAGCTCTGATCCTAGCCTGGACAGCACTGAAACGGTGGTGGGGTGGAGGGTGTTAGAATTGGTTTACAATTGGCCTTAATGTTGAAATTTGTGGGATAAAAAGGGAGGGGGAAGATATAAGAACATAAGAATTAGAAGCAGGAGTAGGCCATTCGGCCTCTCTAGCCTGCCCCGCCATTCAGTAAGATCATGGCTGATCTATTTAACTCCATCTACCCGCTTTATCCCCATATCTCTTAATCCCTTTATCCACAAGAAATCTATCAATCTCAGTTTTGAATATGTTCAAAACAGGGACAACTCAAAGGCACATTTAACTGCTGTACACAGCTACAATGACAGCGTGCTCTACAGATGGCTTCCGTTGAGCATTTAGATGTGAGTAATAATAGTAATCCTTGCATTTGATATAGTGCCTTATCACATAAATCCCTTTGCCTTTTTATTTGTGCTCTGCACCTGCAAACTAGCTTTAGTAACTTCTACTCTTTGTTCATTTATCCCAGAGTATGATTTTGCTATATAATAATAATCCTTGTATTCCGTAGAGTGCCTTATTACATTGATCAAACATCTCAAAGTGCTACTTAAGTATCTACACATGCCTCTACTTTTTCTAAATGGGTTAACTCAGGAATCTCAGGCCCCCATGATCTAAACGTAACAACATCAAAGTAGAGCATTTCTATAAAATATCCTTAAAGCAGACAAGGTTAAGGGGAGATTTAATAGAAGTGTTCAAAATTATGGAGGGTTTTGACAGAGTAGATTGGGAGAAACTGTTTCCACTGGCAGCTAGGTCGGTCACTTAGATTCAAGAAATTGGCAAAATAACTCGAGGGGAGATAAGGTGAATTTTTTTTTAAACATACAGAGTTGTTACAGTTTGGAATGCACTCCCTGAAAGGGTGGTAGAAACAGATTCAACAACAACTTTCAAAAGGGAATTGGTTATATAATTATTATGAATTATAATTCATAACCACAGTGTATAGCAACAAATGTTAAATTTTAAAAAATGAAGATATTAAATCACAGATTTTAAGTTTTCTAACCTGTAGTCCATGAAGCATTTGCTGAGTTCTCTTGTTCCATCGTCTCTCCTCTTGATCTTGGTCTCCCCCGACTGCATCCCCTTCCTAAAAGGTAGGATCAGAAATTGTTGTACATTGATGTAAATATGGAATGAGAAGAGGCCATTCAACCGATGTAACCCCATAACAAATGAATGTAAACCAATGACAAACAATACCAAGTCTAATAATGTCCTAATTGTTCAAGAAAACAACATAGCAAATAAGACAATAACAATAATAAGGAAAAATCATTCAGCCCATCAAACTTGTAGATGATGAATCGGTCTCATAGGAACAAAAATATTTTATTCAGCCCCTCAACCCTATTCTATTTTATCAGATTATGGCAGATTTTTCAATCCTAAAAATCCCATTTTTGCACATTTCATTCACAACACATTTTGCATGCCTGCATCTATCTACGCAGCCATTTATGCACTCATTCAACCATTTCCTTTTAAGAATCCAAACTATTCTGCAACAACAAATTTACATTTATAGTGCTTTTCAAGTCAGGAGTACATCCCAAGTCAGTCCTGGCTAGCAGCTGAGCTGGATGCTTTCTGTAGCCTTTGCCCCTTTAAATAACCAAAGGATTTCAAAATATTTTTAAAACATTTCTCATCAATTCCTAAAGATTCCTAAGGAATCCAACATTTATCTTTCACTAACTGCTAACAGATGATACTTACAGGGCCGTACGTGCCTTCGTCCATCCTCCTGATGCCAAAGGTGCTATTTAAATGTACATTTGTGCAGTAGTGTACCAGAGAATTAATTAGTCCCTTTGCAGTTGGTAGGTCCAAAAAAATGCCATTCTCCTTTGGACTACCAATTTTTAAAAAAATATTCAGATATAATGCTAAAACAAAGATTGAAAAAATGGACAATCCAAAATCCAAATATTAATTTTATACAACTAAACATAAAAAATTAAAACTAAATGCAACTTCTCGTTGGATTTTCCCTGTCTCATTCTTCAATTTTTAGTTTTATTTAAGTTTCAGCACCAAATATTGGAGCGTTAATAGCAGGAAAATCAGTTTTCTGCAGTTCAAGCAGTTAAATCTGGAACTGGAACCTCCCCCAAAATGCTGTGCTTGCTGGATCCATTTATATTTTCAAGATGGGAGGTAGATAAATATTTGTTAGGTCAGAGTATTAAGGGATATGTGGCAAGGGTGGGTAACTAGAGTTGAGGTACAGATTAGCCATAATTGAACAGGATCGAGGGGCTGAACAGCCTACTCATTTCTATGTCTACATCTATGTAAATTATGCTCACAAAACTACAAAATTAATAAAATTAATTCTCTGGTTCTGGGCATTTCTCAAATTCCTTACAGTACAGAAGTGTAATACATGATAACATGAAAGAAAATATGTACCTATTTTGAAAATTTAATAGAAATCTCAGTATGTTTGATAATAATATTCCTCCACAAATATTTATTAGCCCCACCATAACTCAGGTCCCAGATTTGATCATTGGTCTCTGCTGATTGGATACACTAGAATTGGACGCAGCATTCTTTGGTTTAAAGGGGATTAAATTATTCATGCTTGCGTTAATTTTCCCACTGTGTGTGTGTGTGTATTTAAGAAAGAGAAAACAGGGCTCAACTATGATATGGTCCAGTGTTCAAGATTCACCTTTGTCCATGCTCACTTTGAAAGAATGGACACTTGATAAAAGTGACCATATAGTTGCCACTCCCCATTGAATCGAAAAATCATACCCCAGTGAGAGACCAGGAGAGTTAGAGTAAGTGGAGAAACAGAAAATAAAGCCTTTAAAAAGTAGGTTCCCTTCACCTCTTCTTCCTCTTCATCCTTTTCCTTTCCCTTCTCTGGCAGAAGTGCTAGTTCTGGGACAAGATCAGTAATGTGCTGTTGCTCCTCTGGAGGAAGTTCCACTGGAGGAATCTGCTGATCCTGTTCTTCCTGTTGCTGCTGCTGCTGCTGCTGCTGCTGCTAATGGAACGCAAGCACAAAAGTAGTTGCAAAGCATCCAACATTAGTCTAATTGAAACTTCAATTTAACAAACTTTTAAAGCAATATATTAAAAAAATCAACCATGAAATGAATGACCTTAACTAAATTAAATATTTTTGTGGAAAAGGATAAGTGAGGTTCAGCGAGCAATGTCGATGGTCTCGAAATGTATTCTAAAATGAAGTTTTAAGATCAAATGTGTTATTAACTTGATGTATGTTTTGTCAAATGTAGACATTTTGCACTCTGACAGTTTGCTTAGGTGGAAAATACACTGAGTCAATCAATTTACTAGTTAATAACTACAGTCAAACCTGTTTTCAGCAACCACTCAGGGGTCTGGACCAAAATGGCTTTGTGTAAAGTGGCCCCCGAGTAAGGGTTCAATAGTTCATCGACCGGGCCTCAGATTGATTTTAAAAATTCCCGCGGGTCCAAACTTTCCAGACCCATGTATAGACTCCAGCGGAACTCCTAACGCAATTATCTATGCTGCCTCACCAGTAAGGTGGGAAGCTGTGGGCATCAAAGTGAGCTGCTCAGTGCAGCTTTGGTAAATACACTAGGAGTTGAGCAGGAGTCTACACGAAGGCCCACAGAAATTGGTAAGTGCACTTAAATTCACTTAGAACTGGCTGATGAAAAGGGCGTCTATAAACTGACATGAGGCCACTGGTTGTTAGTCAGATGGTTACTGAATAGAGGTGGTTGCTTCAACAGGACTGACTGCATGTGAGCACCTTAAATATCTAGGAAAATAACCAGAGTGTTCAAAGTATTTATGTATAGATTATTCCGATTTTGGATTGTTTTAAAACATTCAGAATGTTGTTTTCAAATGTTTTAAACATTTTAAAGTTTGTTTATTTTTCTACCAGAAGTACCTACCATTCGAACTGTAAATTTTAAAAAAACTCCCAAACTACCTAAATCCTGCCTAAATTTAAATAGTCTAACATTGCACTTGCTAAATTTGATTTGTACAAATATTAAATCTGAACACTTACAGGTACTGCAGGCTCCTGCTCCATTTCCTTGGATTTACGTTTGGATACTCTCTGGGGTGGTGGCATAATGGACTCATCCACTGCTGTCCTACTGCTCTCTAACATGGATTCCTGCAGGCGGCTGGGCTCTTCCAAGATTGGTTCATCTAAATTTTAAAAACAAACCATGAATATTTTGTATCCGTCAATATATTGTTTATTTCACTGAAGTTCAATTTTATAGGAAGGTTCAGATTATTTCGTTTACAGGGGCTCCTTCAAATGGAAACATCAACCTGCAGATGCCCAAAATGGTACCAGGAAAAATAACACAAGGAGTCCATTGTATGACATCAATGTCCCTTGATCATTGCTTTCTGAACTCCGACACAAGCCATAGACTTGGGCAATTTAAAGAATGTGTCCTACCTCAATGCCCTAGAATAGCAAAAGCTTATTGGATGTGATATTTTCCCCACATCTCCAACAGAAAAATGCTTTTAATACCTTCACAGTTGGGGCACTGTCCAACAACAGACTTCACGCTTGCAGGGCAGATATCGCAACACGTATGTAAAGACGCCTCTACTGAAAATGGAGCGGAGGAGTATATACATTCAACATATTTGGACTCCAAGCAACAATTATTCCAGAGTCTCACTGGACTCACTTTTCTGCTCTTTGATGTATCAGCATCTCCATAAGTAATCTAGTCATAATTAGGCAATAATCCCAAGGAATTCAAACATGAAACATGCCATCATTCTAAAGAGATTTTAAATAATGGTAGAAAAGATTCAGGAATGTATAGTACATTTTTTGAATGGCAATTTTTTAAAAACATTTCTGAAAAGAATGTAGCAAATGAAGTGACTTTTTGATTTTGTAAGTAAATGTTACGACGTGGAATTAGCTATGGGAAGTAACCCAAATCTTAGGGATAGTCATATTAAAAGAAAGTAAACAGAAAAGGGTCTCTCCAGAACATTGTAGAATTCAACAAGTGCTGTTCAAAGTCACTCTTCATTCAGTACTGAAAAATAATTTGGTACGACAGAAAGCTTTGCAGTCAGATGAGTCAAATTGCATTCAGAAATATGGATCAATTGGAGATGAGATGGGCCAAAATATGCAATCCTTTTTTGGTGTGGACGATATTCTAAAATTGATTCATCGCTGGTTGCAGGATAAAACCATGTGTGGTATATCATCCATGTATCTGCATGCTGACTATCTGGGTCATAAAGAAAAATAAGACTCATACCAATAATGTCACGCTGTTGCTGCTGTGGCAGCTCCTCTGCCCTTGGTACTTCTGGATTTTCAATTTCTTTCAGGAATTGATCCAGGTTGTCAGCTTCACCTCCCTTTCTCTTCTTTCTTAGCTCATCTGGGACAATTGGAGTGAGGCAGCGGGTGAACAGCTACACAGAAAAATAAGTGTTACCGCCAACATTGATTTCAATTGTGATTCAGGTACAAATATTCACGGAGAAAACATTCACACGAATCAAGAATTAAAAACAAATGTCACTAGTGAACAAACATCCACAGGAACTTCACACTGGACTTCAAATTTTAATTTTAAAAAAGTCCCTCTTATGGATCTGAGCTCTTGGTGATGCAGTGGACAGGTGTCTTCTGAAAATCGGCACATTTGCAAAGTCTAGGATGAAGCAGTGAAGGGGGAGAAGAGTAACCTGGAGGCAGAGTAGGCTTCACAGTGGCTTGTCAGTCTGTTGCCAAAGACCCTCTCGTGTGAACCTGGATTGAACAGTTGGTGTCGAGTCACCCCGGATTGCACCAATGGACTTTGAGGGCATCAAACTGCTCAAACTGGTAGGGTGGTCCTAGCTGGACAGGCAACAGGAAAGCTTGCCAGACAGTGCCTTGAATGGCAAGCTATGAGGTTTTAATTGGTTTGACTCCAGCTGTACCCCAACACATAACCTCAGCCATGGCTCTTTCCCACCTGTACTTAATACTCTTTAGAATTAGGTAAGCAGCACCCAATCAATATCTTTGGAATTTCCATGTATGGATGGGATGCATAGAACTTCATTTGGTATGGAAACTCTTAAGCATGGTGATGGGTTTCTGCATGTCAGACACCTGGCTGACATTTTATTTAAAATAAACTGTCTTATGTACAGTGCTGTTAACTGTGCTCATTATGAATTCTTTACTCCATTACAGTAAAATAGAAGTTGTTTTCAGACTCTGAATTAACATTTCAGTTGTTTTAATTACCTTCAGCAACCTGCTATTCCACAGAGGCTGAGCAGGCAGGGAAAACAGCTTTTCCACACCACCAGTCTCTTTCCACATCATGAGTTTCTTGGTGGGAGGTGCCAGATCCAACGTGGTGACAATATCAGAGTAATCACTCAGCTGTGCACGAATTGTTTTACTGTCAAGTTCCTTTACACTATCCACAATCAACTTTCTCTTCCTCTTCGCTTTTGTCTCCTTAACTGTAAGAAATCATCCCAAGATTTTAATAAATAAAATAATCCTATCAAATAGGTAAAGAACAACAAAACTCCACAGTTGACTTTTTATTGCAAAGATATTGTAATATCATTTCTGGTTCAATTAACACGACAATGAACGTATCAATTAACACTGTTTAGATATTCACCAATTATAAATATCAAAATCTAAGAGATCATAACTGATTTTTAATATTTGCTGTTTTAACCATTCACCAAGACAACTAAAGTTGCATTTTTATTACTCAATCTTATTTTTAGATATCACTTCACCAATATGGTCATACCCAATCACAGCTGCTGACAATAAGGTTGAAAACTTACCAGTTATATCAATTGGTTCCAAAGCAAATGCTTCCTCTTCGTTTGGTACCAACGTTGTCTGATCAGTCATCGTTGGCATTTGTTCAACTGGATCTTCGGAGTCTGGACTGCCAGGTCCACCCACTGTTTATAACCCAAATAGGGGAAATTCATTTTCAACAAGTCTAAAACGTATGACTAGAACTATGAACAAAGTCAACACTTTCAATTTATCACATTAGAAAAAATTGCAAAATACTCACTCGACATAGCATCATCATCATCATCATTATCCTGAACAGGTTCTTCTGGCATCAGAACTCCTCTATCGGGTAAAACAGGCGGATCATCAAAGATACCGCCATCATCATTGCTCAGAAGTTTGTCACCTGTGAACCAAAGTATTGAACAAAGAAATTAATGCAGAACTATAATCAACAACAACTTGCACTTATATTGAGCCTTTCACGAGGTTGTAGCCTCCCTGAGCGCTTGAAACCAGATTGATCAATAATATACCGATCAGCAGAGCCTAGACAGAATTCAAAAGGCAGTACATAAGGGATGGCTTGACAGCATTCACGTGATCTGCATGCAACAATTATTCAGACGTTCCATCTGGCCAGATTATATTGTTTGTATAAACTGTCAAAATGTAGCAAAATAAAGATTTCAGTGATGAATAATTTATAAAGTTAGCAGGTGAAGAAGGGCAAAACCTTTCATAATAAAAGACCTTTTACTCCTTCCAAAGTGACGTTCCATTTTAAAACCATACGGTTGTCCTCAGTAATGAGGACACAAATTTAAGAGAAATTAAAATTAAAGGTTAGAAAACATTTCTCTACCCAGAGGGTGATTGGAATGTAGAATTCCTTGCCACAAATTATTCTTGAAACTCTGTATTTTGTTTTGAAAAGGAATCGGATAAATTTTAAACAAGAATCTTAAAGGGTTTGGGGAGTGAGCAGGAAAGTGAAATTAGATTTGGTAGTTCATATGGACTTGATGGGCCAAAAAGACTGGTTCCTTCTATGGTTCTACATTTTTAATTACACTAAATGTTAAACCTAAAATGCTTGAGGGAGCATCCTCTTCCAAAGAGAGGATTTTATTCATCCACTAGCGCAGGTTCCAAAAAATGATTAATTTATTTTGAAAGTTCCTACGCAACAAGAAACAAAGTAGTTAAACTGAAATGTGTTAAATGATTTTATTCTCATATTTCTATCAGAAAGCAGCTTTATTCTATGTAAATTCTGCATCAAAAAGTAGGAGAAAACAATGTACCAAGTATGCCACCATCAATGTCGTCCCCAAAGCCATCATTCTTGAGTGGATCATCATATACCATATGGGTATTTCTCTCAGACAGCTGAGCAGTGGTGTTCTGTACCGGATCCAGCAACAGATGGGAGTTACTGGTAGTACCCATTAAGTCCTCTTCAAGTATGCTTTCGTGTCGATTAAGCTCACGTTCATCCATACCAAAATCACCTGTATTTGAAGGAGAAAAAGAATCTCCAATAGTAGCAAATTTAATGCCTCATGGAATTTCAAAAAGATGCACTGTTTCAAAAAGGTGCACTGTTAGAATTAGGATTATCATGATAAAACAAACATCAATACGCCTATATTAATTTTTGTATAGTCTTAATAGTCTAACATTGGATCAAAATGTTGCTGAAGTATGAGGTACTGTTCTGACATACTTTAGAGTGCTTCATTGTTAGAACACTGTCTTGCTATTTCTAATTGGAGCATTTAGTAGAATATTAGTATAGAACCGGACTGTCATTAAGCTTCGTCCAGTAAACAACTCTGATAGTTCTTGTATTTATTTGGAATCATCAAACCAAATGGTTGAAACATTGCAATGCAATATGCACTGTCCATTTTATGAAACCTCAATTAGCTACTGTCCAAAAAAACATTCTCATAAACAAGCAAGTTTATGTATCTGATCAAGATTATTGACCATCACATGAATTCCTCACTTTAATTATTGATTGATTAATACCTGCTTAATGCGTCTTGACCCATCCCTGCATGCGGACTTACTGGCAAGCACTGGAACCACATTGAATTGCGGGAAATGAAATTATTCTGCGAACGAGTCAAGAGATCAAGACTACATTTCCTGCAATTCAAAGCAGCTGGCCAGTAAGTGTATATACATCATCGGGTCAGGAAGTCATTTTCCGCGATTCAATGCAGCCGATAAGCGCAGGAGTAATAGAGGAAAGGGGAGCCGCATTACAAATTACAAAATGATAAATATAACCAGTGCAAAGACATCTAAGTAGTTTTGATAGGAAACATAATGGGACTCAGGTGGATGTAAGACTTAGGCAATTATATGATTTATAAAGATAAGACTTATGCGAGTTTTGCTGTATACATCCTCTCAGGCAGCATAATCATATGAAGCCCCTTTGATGTACAATAAGCTCAGTCTCAAGGCAAATGTCATCTCTTCCTCCCTTACGGAGCAATCATTAACCCTAACACTACTTAATGAACGAAAACTAATATCTCTGTCAATGTTGGTCCAGCAAACCGCCATCCCACCCCCAGGTTAAAGGTTTACAGAGTATTTCTCCCCAATTAAAAAACTACCCCAAATAGCTTTGATTCTCATTTAAAACACGTGGAGAATCCCCCCCCCCCACACCCGCTTACTTTATCTGTGTAATATTTCAGACCATCCAGATTTTAGAAAATTGTTAAATTCAGCCTTAAATTTATTGTGTAGTTCTTAAAGAAACTTAAAGAGAACCAACTTCAAAATTAAGGCTGTAATAATAATTTGCAAATGCTCTAAAATGCTGCATAAATAAGAATGAATCTCGACTAAAATGGATTTTCTCCCATTGAGTATTTAAAATTGCTGGAACAACTGCACCAGAACTGAAAATGGGTAATCTAACCATTTGAGTTGCGCAAAAAAATCATATTGCATGAATTAATAAAACTAAACCTCCATTCTTACCAAAGTCATTGTCTTGAAGCAAAGTGATGGTACCCACTTCCTCTCTCATAGTGATCTCTTCCACTCTGCTTTGGTTCAAGGTAAACTGCTGAGCCACGTCAATATCACTGCAACACAGATCACATTGGTTGGATTAAACTAAAATGTTAACATTGTAACTCAAGTATATCAGAAATAAAAAAACTTATGTTTTCATTTGGTAGCTGCGGTATTGTCTAGTTAAGATCAACTAACAGAGCAGCAGATATAACTGAACGAGAAGTTTCCACATCTGAAAGTGTGTAAGGAAAAATAAACACTTACTCTAAGTCTGGTAATGGCTGGTCAAAATCATGGAATTCCTCAGGCAGAGTAATAGCATTATATGCAGCTTCCCGATTTTCTTCCGGAAGATCCACAACACCTGGAAGATTGTTTAAAAGACTGAAATTGTGTACTAAGAATCAATGGTTCAGTCTTATTTCTAGAGATCTAACCTTTACAATAAAAACAGAATGCAATTTGTAGTACAGGAATATGAAACACTGCATCTTATTATGTCTGGCTGCACCCACACTGAAAGCACTGCTTTCAAAAACAAATGCCAGTGTTAACTTGCAGTGCTAAGATTATGAAGAAACCTATGAATATATAGAAATTGGAGTTATAGATCAGTTAAGTACAAACCAGTGGTATCAAACTTTGCTCCTTATGGGAAATAAGTCTGTTAAAAGTTCCTGAAGCATATGATAGTTCCAGGACAAATTACAAAACTAAATGAGACTTATAGCAGAATTAATAAGCAAATCTTCTTGCACTAAAATACAATATTGAAACCTACCTGGACGGAAAGCCATTTTAATCTTTATGAAGGCTTCATTACAATCAGCCAAAAGATATTTAGCTTTTCTATGGTAGATCCTCACCACACCGAGCAGAAGATGCCCAGACGTTCGCAAAGCCATCTTAACCTGGAGCAAATAATAGGTTAAGATATTAATACCAACTAAATGTTGAAAATTCCTATTAACTTTTTAGTTTTAACCCCCAAATATATTGAAGTTCCCACCATCCTGTAAACAAACTTTTTTTCCATTTCCATCACAACTGCACTTGGTACCAAATGCTATATTCTTCTCAGTGGCCGAGTCCCAGTGGTGAAAGCAATATCCTACTTTAGACCCAACCCTGCTTTCCAAAATGAATTTAAAATTTAGTGCGTAAAAAATGTTTATCGGGATATTATAGAGATAATCAAAAATATTGATAACTTACAGGAAATACAATTTGGATAGGTGAACCACCAACAGAGACCAGAGAAGATTAGTGCCATAGCTAGACCTCTATCTTCATCAGCAGATTTACCAAAATAAGGCTTCATTTCACTGGAAACTCATGGATGTGGTTCCCCTACTGGGCCTTCACTAAAAACAGAGGTGCCAGTGACTATGAGCCACTGCTGAGAAAGAGGCAAAAGACTATGTTCCTGGCTTTTTGCATGTACCCCTTGTCTCCTTGGGTGAAAACTTGCCTGGCCTTAAAGAAAAAAAAAATTTCTTCACCATCAACATTTTGAAATGTAAAAGCATGGAGGTCATTCTGGAGTTTTTAGATTTTGTTTGTACTTTCTGAAGCTTTCAAAAGCTTCCTTGATCATCCAATAGTCCAGAAAAAGGGAAGTTCAAAAGTTTACTTTGTAGGTCTGATGGAAAAATTTATGCCAGTCAGCTATGTGAAGCACTTTGGCATGTCCTCCTCACGTCAAAAGCGTAATATAAATGTAAATTATTGTTGCTTTGTACATGTGCAAATCAAGCCACCTGTCCTAGTTGTCCAATCTTTCAGATTACATTTCGGGGTACATCTGGGATTTTCAGTGGTCACATGCTTCATGGCTGTTGTGGGACATTTCTGTGCGCAAATTGACTGTCGCGTTCCCCTACAAAATACAGTCACCACATCTTACAATAATACTGTGAAGCACTTTGGGACCTTCTCCCAATCCAAAAGGCACTATATCAAATGTGAGATTTCTCATTAATTGATCAGCTCAAAAAAAGCAGTTTAGAAGAAAATTATACACTGGTGTGATAAATTGTGCTGAACACAATCAGCAATTGGAAAACTACAGTTCCTTTCAATTTCATGAGATGTGTGATAAATTGTCCAAAAGGCAGATCTGAATCTTATGTAAAAAAAATCACATCACTGGAAGCACTTAAATCCAAATGTGCTCTGTTGCAGTGTTTCTCAAGGGCCAGGCCAGTTAGTGAAAGTCCCAGTGATTCACATCAGATATCTCTTTAAATTAAGTGATCATTCAGACTCATTTACTAATTGGCTGCCATATTTTAAGACACAATTGAGCCAGACCCAAGTATGAAAAGGTTGAGAAACATTGTTCAATAGTAAGCAAATTATCTAATTGGCATGTAATATTGAACTGGTGTTACATTCTGAAAAATGAAATGTTTAATTATGTTCTTCATACAGTAGAGCACATTTGTTTATCTGTAGGACTCCAAGTAGGAACGCTGAATCGTAAATTACTGGAAAAAATTACAAGTATCTCCTGGTTGCTAAGAATGTTGACGGTTACAGTACAATGGCTTAAGTCCAACTTTGCACATACCACTAATAGGTATTTATGCGGTTAGAAAAATGTAGTGGTGAGGATAAGAGCAAATCAAATCAAGATAAAAATAACAGTCCTTGGATTTAATATGTAATAGATTAAAACAACAAATGAATAATAATCCTTTCGGTTTAGCTGCTTTCACATCAAAGGACATCCTAAAGCATTTCACAGGACATACTATATAAAGGATATCAAGTGCAGTGACTATCTTTTGTGGGTGATCGCAGCAGCCAATTTGCGCACAGCAATGTTCCACAAGTGGCCATGAAGTGAATAGCCAATTTTAACTGGGAATTGGATTGTGAGCCAGGAGAAACTCTCTTCTTTATTTGAATATTGCCATGGGATCTTTAAAGTCCACTTGAAAAGGCAAACAGGTTTAACATCTCATCCAAAGGACGTCACCTATAACACCGCAGCACACCCCCAGGATTGGAGCGTCCTCTTAAGACTATATGAGTCTCCAAATCCCGATGTGGGGCTTCAACTCACAACCGTCTGAACTCAAAAGGCAAGAGTTCTACCCACTGAGTCAGAATTATTTAGCGCCTTTTACATTGGGAGGAATGTTTCAAAGGTAATAATAAAAGAACATTCATATATGATGCAGTTCATTTTGAAGATTGCTTAAAAGACCAAGTATTTACCTTTGGAGAAATGATGCTTTCCACACTGCTCTCCAGATTACACTCAAATACATGGGCTTTGGTGAGTTTCTTGTCCCAGTGGGCAGCAAGCCATATTTTGGCTAGCGGCCCACGTTTGCTCAACACAAAATGTGCGTAAAACATCTTCGGAGCTACCTTTCAGGTATAAACCTAGAAACAGAAAAACACAATCAATAATCTAAAAACTATAAATGTCCACAGTTGCAGTACTCATTCTCCAGTCTCCTTATCAACAATAAAAAAATTCATACAAATATTTTAACATTTAAAACACAGACCTAATTGAGATTAATATACAGATATATATTTTTTTTAACAAATTACATTTTGCTCAGTGGGAAAACTCAGAACAAAAACTCAAAGCTGTTCAACTTAAAGTGATTGCTCATAAATGGCTCTATGATGGATTACGTACAGTATCATTGGGTGAAGAGAAAAGACATGGTTTTGGATCCCAAAACAAATAATGTTTTTAAAAAATAAACTGAGGAAAAAGAATTCAACCAAGACCACTTCTGCCTCCAGTCTTGCCGATGCCTGTGCTGTCATCAGCAGTTCCCTGAAATACTGTGGACCCACCTGACTTAGGAACCGGACTCCTGAAATCTCCAATGGGTTGGCTCAATTCTGACACTCCACTGCCAAATATAGGTCACCTTAGAGCCAGTTCAGCTCCAAGGAAGCTTTTTCCTTTGCTTACCTCCCCCCATAAAAAAGATAGTCACTAGTTGTTCATTTGAAATATGACAAGCGTGGGTTTGCACCCCAACGAGATGGATGGCAGGCATCAGGTACTCCCTGTGAGCTTCCCTGTGGGCTACACAGCTCAGCATGAAATGCATTAGAGCATTGCTTCCATCTTTCTGTCTGTAGCTCAGACACATGTCTCTTGCATTGAGCGATGGTTCCACCAGTTGGAGGCATGGGGCTTAAGCAGAAGCCACTAACCTCTCTGCAAAACAATCAAGGTGGATACCAGGTGCTGCATGTTCACAAACTCGAGACTCCAGGTAATGCTTTCCAGCAGTTGTCACCCCAAGCCTCAGAGTTTCCTCATCAGCTACCCGGTGGACATATTCCTTCAGTGTGGTGGGAAAACCTTTACAGGACAATTTGCAAAATGCCAACCACCTTGATGCTCTGTAGGATTGGTTTGATTTGCTCCAGGTGCATGTTCAATTCCACATACCAGGCTTATTTTGGGGACGGACGTGGTATCAACAGGGATTGATGGAGCAGACTAATGGGTAGTGGTTGTGGCTGGTCAAGCAATGGGTTTTAGCTGGCTGAACTCCACCAGGACCTCAGTACACACTCTGGGGTCCCCAAACCTCTTAGCAACTGTGTGCAATACTTTCTGGAATTACGTAAGCAGAGGGTCCCTCAAGGAAGAGTGCACATTCCATTCCAGACTCGAGAAAATTTATGTAGGTGTTATGCATGTGTGGAACTCTGTCTGGTTTGGATACTCTTAAGCATTGTGACTAAAATTAACAGGCCAGATATCTGATACACGCCTTCAGCGTGGTGGGAAAATAAGGTGCAAGTCCTCACACAGTAGGCCAATTTGCCAACATTATATTATCTGCATTCATCAGTGATATATGACAGTAGTTGATGCATCCTAACAACTTCATTCAGGAGCACTAAGCGTGGAGCCAAGAACACTGCAGTTAAGTAAACTAAAAACTCCCAGTGCTGACATTAATTTGCATGTGGAGTGAACACATTTATCATTTCGGTGAGCGGATAAGAAAGAGTTATCCCCAGTTATCCTTCCTCCCGCACCGCTTTCTTCCACCTCCACCACATTGCCCGTCTCCGTCAATACCTCACCCCAAAAGCTGCCGAAATCCTTGTCCATGCCTTTGTCACCTCTCGGATGGACTATAGCGCCCTCCTCACTGGTCTCCCCTCCTCCACTATTCACAAAATTCAGCTCATTCAAAACTCCGCCGCCCACATTCTCACCCGCACCAAACTCCGTACCCCGATTACTCCAATGCTTGACAAACTCCACTGACTCCCTGTCACAGAGAGGATCGACCTCAAGATTCTCACGCTGGTGTTTAAATCCCTCCATTCCTTGGCACCGCCCTATCTCTCTAACCTCCTCACTCCCCACAGCAGTATCCGCTGCCTCCACTCTAGTGGGCCTGGCCTCCTCCGTGTCCCCCAAATCCTCCACTCCACCATCGGCGGCCGTGCCTTCAGCTACTAATATTAATTCTTCTGGTTTTCTGTAACCAGAAGTGGAGTCCTGTAGCTCAGTGGTTAGAGCACTCGCTTTGCAAGTGAGAGGCCTGAGTTCAGTTCCAGGCAGGGCGAAACCTTGGGCAAGTTTCCTTACTCCACACACCTAATAATAAGAATCCCTCCAAAAAAAACACTAAAAAATTGGTCATTTTCAATCAATGACTGTTTGTGGGACACTGCTGTGCGCAATTGGCTGCCGCGTTCGCCCACAAGTATACAGTCAATTCACTTTACAGTATATTCTGTGAAGCGCTTTGGGATGTCTTGAAGACGTGAAAAGCGCTATATTAAATGCAAGGATTATTATTACTATTATTATAACCCACCCAGGAACCCAAGGTCTACGAGCATTCTGTCAAGAATCAGATAACTCCCTTCCAGTAGTAACCATCTCTGTTCAGACATGAAATGTTGGGTCATTCCTCTCTTAGATGTGAAAAGCATCATTAGTTTATCTTTTCAACCTAGCCTCTTCTAATTCACAAAAAAGCAGATTAAATTTTATCATTCACCCCATTGCTGTTTGTGCAACGTTGCAGGCGGAGAATGATTGCTGCATTTGGCTACATAAATAACATCTGTTAATTTTCAAAGTATTGCATTGTACTTTGAGAAGTTACAATGTGATTCTGTGGTACATCAAATGCAAGTACCATTCTAATCAAAAAATACAATCAGACTCAATTCCCCCTTGCTCTTATTAATAATCTGTAAAATCCATACAATCCTTTCCGTCCTCCTTCCACACACACCGCTCGCCCTAAGACTTCTCAGAATTCTTCCCTCTCTTTATAACAGTCTTTTGCAGCAAATGCAATTGAAAGGATTTGGCCCTTTGATAGAACTTTGATACTAATAGAATCAATCTCTCCTTCCAATTTGCTGTGTATAAACTGCATTGTCACAGACTGCCCTTTTTTTCGACAGAAGGAAATTATCCCAATCCAACCTAAACAAATTAATTATGCTCTCACGTGCAAGGTCTCAAACTAGAATTTAGTTAGGATGAGGTGCATTCTAGATAACAGTACCACAGACCCAAAAGGACAGGAATCACAATGTTCTTGATTTGTTAATATACGGGTACACTAATGCCTATAATTATCAAACCAAATCCTCAATCAGCTATTTTCCAAAAAGAATCAAACTGTGTTTGATGTAAATCTTGCCCACAATTATTACTGGAGGAAAGGATAACTCTAAACTCCGAGCCTGAGTTTTGCTAAATTTTCTGCTGGTATTTCTTAGCAGTGTAAAAAACTTGAGGTGGAATTTTCATTGAGAGAAAAGATTGAGAGTGCAAGTTCAAGCCTGTCAACATTTCCTACACTTTAGTATTTTTAGTTGCAGAATTGCCCCGGTTAGAATATACCATTTCTTTATTCTCACTTGCAGTTTATACTATTATTTCACCAATTGATTGTATTGAATATATCCGAAGGGCGTATTCAGTTAAACACATTTTAATAATATAATAACACTTGCATTTGATATAGTATGGCTGGCGATGCATTATAGAATGGTAATTCAATATCTTACATCAATATGAAACCAACCAAGATTAAATTACAGCCTTGGAGCTCAAAGTCAGATAATAATTGTATATAATTCGGACTGAGTTCTTAGAAACATTTTAAAAATGCACATTAGTAATGTTAAAGGAAAATAAATTTAAAAATCTGCTAATTTTAATGATCAGCTCTTGAAAGACTATCAATTTGGCCGTTACCTGACACTCAGGCGAGTGTTAAGCACATAAAGGAGAAGATCCATAAGAAATTCAGTATGTAAGCATCTCAAAGGCAGCTGGGTTGGTAAAGCATAGAGCAGTGCCAGTCTGTTTCTCAGTGGCTATATCTGTATCCAGGTGGATTCATTTTCCTGATGTACAGTTCTGTTCCTGAATCTACCACCTGATAAATGTTCCTGGAAAAGTCTCCAGCATGAAAACATTCTTAATGCAATTCTTCACTGGGTTGAAAGGTCATCAATGGTACTGGACATATGACTTTAATAGGTAGGAGTCTTAACAACAACAAAATTACAAGAATTACAAAAAATTTGTGGAGTCCTGTAACTCAGTGGTTAGAGCACTCGCTTTGCAAGTGAGAGACCTGAGTTCAATTCCAGGCACAGGGCGAAACCTTGGGCAAGTTTCCTTACTCCACACACCTGATAATAATCCCTCCAAAAAAACAAAACAATAATAAATTGGTCATTTTCAATCCACGACTGTTTGTTGGACATTGCTGTGCGTAATTGGCTGCCGCGTTTGCCCACAAATATACAGTCAATTCACTTTACAGTATATTCTGTGAAGCGCTTTGGGACGTCTAGAAGACGTGAAAAGCGCTATATCAAATGCAAGAATTATTATTATTATTATTAAGAACATAGTGCATGGTACATTCATATATTTATATTATTGCCTATTTTCCAGATTTTTAAAAAAATGCAATAATAGGTAGCTATTAGTTACTGAATTCATAAGATTACAATATTAGAAATTTGCTTATAATTATACAGCAACAAAACCACAGTTGAGTTCCCAGAAATGCTGCCAACAAAATACTGTACATCTGCGAATGTAGTTTTTTACCTTATGACAAAATTGCAAGGTAAAAAAGTATAGGCAACTTTTGTAATCTCTCTTGCAATGTCCATGATTTGACACCATCTTTTACTGCACTTGCTCTTAATTAATTTTTTAAACTATGTTGTATTTTTGAATCTTGTAATACATTTTGAAGATTTGATACTTCTTGAATGTTTTTCTTTTCCTGCACACAAATTTTACTTTAGTATGTTAGCTGAATTAAAGACAGCTAAGGTACAGCATTTTACACAATGATTGTTCATATTTACAATCCACAACGAAATGGGCCACAAATTATGCTGACATCGAGCTCTCCTTACATGTAAAATCCAGTCACAAAAACAAATATAGTATAAACCAGATTTCAGACACAGTGATTCAGAGTCCCTCTTCCAAAATCACCCAATCAATTCGGTTTGAGGATGTGTAGGATGCAATCAGTATCAAACCGGTTTGTAATGCAGATAATTACAACATTTTAAAATAGCTTTTACATTTAATTTAAGTTTGAATTTAGATGTGATCAAAGAACTTGACATACCAGTTTGTAACGCTCTGTTCATATGATTAGCACTTTTCTCAATCCCTGCCAAATCACTTTTGGAGTAGGAAATATAAATGCTGTTTCCCACTCCAATCATTTTGCTGTGTAAATCATAATCACTCCAGCTGTGTAAACACAGTATTACACTTCACTTTTCCTATCTCTTCAATGAAAACTTGGGAAAGCAAAACAAATCCTATCTGAGGTGCATGATCACCTACATTAATAAGTCTGCCTGCAGAAATCATCCAAATATATGATTCTCAAGACATTAATGTGCAGTGTCACAATATAAACACAGTTGATGTGAACAGATTCAATCTTCAATAAACTCGGGCTGATTGGAAGGTCTTTAATATTACTAAATTGTAACCAGTTCCTTTACAAACCAGCATCCCAGTTGTGCTTTCATCATCACTGGCAACAGTAATTGAGGGCAGGTAAATAAAGAGTATAAATGAGCCTTGGGGGAATCCAAAAATAAAGTTTCCCCTTCTCCATCCAAATGCAGCTTTCCACTAAATAATACTTTGTCGTTTTCAATTTATTCTTCAGACAACTGATGTAAACGAAAAAATAATCACAGATTGCCATTGTAAACTTCCTACTTTCATGGAGGCCTGTAGCTCAGTGGTTAGAGCACTCGCAATGCAAGCGAGAGACCTGGGTTCGATTCCTGGCAGGGCGAAATGTTGGGCAAGTTTCCTTACTCCACACGCCTCTGTTAATCTAGCAGTAGAAACCCGATTGTTAGTTGATCGCCGGATCGCTTTTACGGGATGATAATTCCTTCCAAAAAAATAATAATTGGTCACTTCAACCCACGACTGTTTGTTGGACACTGCGCTATATGAAAAGCGCTATATCAAATGCAAGGATTATTATTATTATTCAATTCACTTTACTGGTCCTCGCCTTCAAAGGTCTCCATGGCCTTGCTCCCCCCTACCTCTGCGACCTCCTAGCCCTCTACCATCCTGCCCGGTCCCTCCGCTCAGCGGGCTCCGGCCTGCTTCACGTACCCCACCTCGCCCTCCCCACCATTGGTGGCTGGGCCTTCTGTCACATCGTTTGGAACTCCATCCTGCAGTCCCCCCTCCTTTGCCTCCTTCAAGACCCATCTCTAGACCCACCTTGTCGACCGTGCTTTCGATCACCCTGCTTCCCCCTCTGCCTTCCAACCACCCCAATCCCGGCCCCCAGCCCGGGTCGAAACACTGACTGTCTAGCGCCTTGGGACGTCCTCCCGTGAAAGGCTCTTAAACCAGTCTAACTTTGGTGGTGTTGTATATTCTGTGAAGCGTTTTGAGACGTCTCGAAGACGTGAGAAGGCGCCATATCAAATGCAAGGATTATTTGTAGTATTATTTCTCAGCAGCATAACCAACATCTTACCTCGTACGTGATCAGTGAATAAGTTAGTATTCAATCGTCACTATATTCAATAACAAGCCTAACCGATTGGGTCAGCTCTGGTCCCAGGTGATCCTTTTCCAATGTTCGACATTTACAACAAGAAGATGACATTTGTATAGCGCCTTTCACGTCGGGGGGTGATATTAAAAGTGATAATATGAGCAAAATATCCCAAATATTTTTGAACGAACGTTTCACATATTCCTACATTTTTTTTTCTTTGCCAGAAAAAAAAACTCTGCCCACGTTTTCGCCGCAGCCACGAAACGGTGCGATTTCACAACTTTTTTTTAAAAAAAAACAAAAACCCCGAAAAACGTGCTCGGGACGTATTTCTCGCGAAAGAGATGGCATCGGAAAGCGCAATTTGGGGTTTAATTTTACGAATGGCCTCTGTGCCCATTGTTGCAAAACAAACGTCCAAAAAGTAGCAACAAAAAACCCAGACGCGGTGCCAATGAACCGATTGAAAGGACGCGCGGAGACCAGCGCACAAGAGTGTCAGTCAGTCCAGTCCCAGTCAATGATCAGCCGAGACGGTGTCCAAAAAAAAAAATCCCCGACGCAGCGAAAGAACCGCATCGCAAGAATAGCCATAAATAGGGGCCGTGAGCAAGAGCTGAAACACGGGGAGAGGAGAAGCCACTCCACCGCAAAGAGTGGGCTTCAAACCGAATAACACATGAAAGCTCGTCGTCGCCGCCGCTGCTACTGCTGTGCGTAGGCTTTATTATTACAGCCCCGCGGCCCTCGGGGCAGGACTGCGCCCACCTCCTGCAGCCCTTACCCGGGCCAAGTTCCACCCGAGCGCCGGGCGGGTACCGGGCCCAGGCCCTGTCTCCCTGTCTCCCGGTATTTTCTCCCCGCCGTGTCCCGCGATTTCCGAACCGGCGGGGCGGGGCGGGCGGCCTCGGGGCCGGGCTGCGCGGTGGATTTCGTGGTGCTTTCTCCTCCCGCTCCCGTCGCCGCTTATTCGTGTCCCTGCCTTCCCGGCGCCATTTACAAAAAAAAAGGGGGGGGGGGAGAAGAGCCACGAAACCGGCGGCTTCTCTCCCCCCCCCACTCCCGAGCCCGGAGGGGGAGAGAGAGAGAGGGAGGGAGGGAGACCGACCCATCCGTCTATCCCGCATTAAATCTTTGTAAATCCCAAACCCTGCGCCGAGGCCGCGCTGGGCCTGAAAAGCCACAGGAGGCCGAGGGCTGACGTGCGCCTCCCACCTCAGCAAATAAACCGCGAGGCCGCGGCCCGGGAGCAGGTACGGCGGGAGGGACGCGGGACGGGCTTTACCGTGACGGCGGGTGTCGGCCTCGACTCGCTCTCCGGGGCCCTGCCCCCGGCTCCGGGACTCGACGCTTCGCTCGCACGGACACCGAGGAGCAGCCGCGATGGTTACAAGATGGCGCCCGCGGCACCCACTTCCCGCCCAAAACTATTCAAACCGACCGGATGTTTACAGTCAAACCAGAGAGAGGGAGAGAGAGAGAGAGAGAGCTCAGCAGCACAAGGCAGGAGGCGACCCCATGGGTCAGAATAAAACTGGTAATAATGTGAATAATAATATTAATAATCCTGCACGTGATATTGCTCGGGTTATCAGCTCAAATTCAGAGACATCCACATCCAATCATTTGAACTCACCACAATTCCTGATGCCGGCAGTGACCTGGAGAAGGTTGTTGGGATTACTGGCTGCACAGTACTTCTCTGATGAGTTTTATCTGTTTTTTTTAAATATGTATATATGTGTGTGTGTATTTATATGTTTGTGTTATATATGTGTTTTATTGTTCTCGCTCAGTTTGTCGCTGACCTCGAGACGGGGCAAGTTTGGCCAAGGGCACATTACCTCATCCGGGGACTGTCCCCGGAAATCAGGGACGTATGGTCACTCATATATATATATATATATATACGTGTATATATAAGCTCCTTATCGCATCGTCGAGACGTCTCATAGCACTTCACGGAACATACCGTAAAGTGAATTGATTAGTTTTTTTGTGGGCGAAAAGCAGCAGCCAATTGCGCACAACGGTGTCCCGCAAACAGTCATGGATTGACTGACCAATTTATTATTGGTCTCTTCTGATGAAGGGTCGTGGACCCGAAACGTTGACTGACTTTCCTTTCTCCATACATGCTGCCTGACCTGCTGAGTTTTCCCAGCTCTCCCTGTTTTTGTTTCAGATTTTCAGCATCTGCAGTATTTTGTGTTTTATTATTATTGGTCTATATATATACAATGCATCTAATAATATATAATTCATCTGTAGCTAAAGTCTGGAGGATAGTGAATGTTATCCTGCTATTGAAAAACTGGATGAAAACAAAGCAACATAAACAAACTTTAGACAATCATTGGAAAGGAAAAATACTACTTTTGTGCATTGTTATCAATGAGCTCCTAAACCCACATTTGATTTAGAAGCAATAGATCATGAGTCATGACTTATAGATTTACTGGATGTAACTACAATATTTAGTTTCACAAGAGTACTCCTGTTGTTTTCTTGGGTTTTCAGTTGATATTTAATTAAGTTTCACTTATTAGGCTAATAAGGACATCCTCCCGATGTCAAAAGCGCTTTACAAATGTAATTTTGTTGTTGTAACAAAAAATAGGAAGTATTGAAGCCAAGGCTATAAGAGCATTTAAAAGTTAATTGGACAACAACAACAAATTACATTTGTCTAGTGCCTTTCACGTCTGGAGGATGTCCCAAAGCGCTGGTGTAGGAATTTAAAAAATGTAGCCGAGTACAGAGGACAGTCTTTGAGGGTTGGTATACTTGCCTGCCCAATACTACTCTACCTGTAAGTTTCTGACAGCTGGGTTAGGGGAAGAGGTTTGGGTGATAGCTAGAGCTAGTTACTCTTTAAGAGTGAGGTTTTTTGTACTGAGGTGAAAACCTGCTAATATGGTCTTTGCATAGTGACTTTTATTTTGCTGTGCAGCAAACCTTTTTCCTCTCGCTGTACAATCAACTCCAAAACATTTACGGATTTTTTTCCCCCTTCCTCCCCAACGAGCTTTAACACATTTTGTGAATTGACCATTCACTCCTCAGCTCCTTTTAATCCTGCAAGCCAAAGTCCAAACGGGTAGAGTGGTCCAAGCTGGACAAGCAGCGGGAAACCTTGCCAGACAGCGATATCAATGGCAAGCTATGTGGTTTTAGCTGGTTGGACTTCAGCAGTACTCCAACTCGCACTCTGGGATCCCCAAGCCTTGGCTCTTGCGAACCTGTGTCTAATACTTTCTGGAATTAGTAAGCAGGATGCGTCCCTCCAGGGATAAAGTGCGCATTCCATTCCAAGAATATGTCTCTGAGATTTCCATGTGTAGTTTGGATGCATGGAATTCTTAGGTTAGTTTGATTTGGATACTCTTAAGCATGGTGATGGGTTTTTGCATGTGTCAGACACTAAGCTGCCCCCCAAAAATTCCCTGCACAGGTGGGAAGGGGAGGCGGGGGGGGGGGGCCTGCTTTCTACCTGAGCTGTTACTCTGTGTGGGTGGAGCTAAGTTTGTGGTGCCAAGTGCACTGAGAACCTAAGAAAATCATGTGTGTTTTCCTTTACTTACGTCCCCCTGCCTTCTTCAGCACTTTCCAGAGTTTGCCAGAAATTAATAATAATCCTTGCATTTGATATAACATGTCATTGAGACATCTCAAAGCGCTTCACAGACGATACTGTTAAGTGAATTGACTATATTTTGTGGGCGAAATGCAGCAGCCAATTGCACACAGCAGTGTCCCACAAATAGTCATGGATTGAGTAACCAAATTATTATTATTCATTTTTTTTTAGAAAGATTATTACCCCTGAAAAGCAATCCGCAAATCGACTGGGTTCCAACTTATTGCTTACGTAAATACATTTATAGCCCCAAATCAACCAAATACCAGCCCTAAAGTAGCCCAACATTATGCATTGCCTCCTATGGGTAGCAGCAGAGTGGCCAATTTAGGTTAGCGCTTTTTGAAATTGTACGGAAAAAAAAGTCAGTGGGGTGGGGGGAGCGATTTGCAGGTTTAAATTAAAAAATCAGGCGGCCGCCCCAAACCGTTTCTCACGCACAAGTAATAATAATGACAATCCTTGCGTTTGATATCGTGCCTTATCACGTCTTCGAGACGTCTCGAAGCGCTTCCACAGAGCCGACTGTGAAGCGAGTTGACCCGCGTATTTTGTTTGCGGTCGAAACGCGGCAGCCGATGGCGCGCAGCAGCGTCCCGCAAACAGCGGCGGATTTTTAAGCCGCCGGATTCTTCGTCTTGTTTTTTTCTTCTTCTTCGAATCATTGCGAAGGGATTGTCGGGATCCACAAAAACCCAAGTTGCCGCGCAAGACGGAACCGGCCAACCCGGGGGTGTGTGTGTGTGTGTGTGTGTGTGGGGGGGCGGTGTGTGTGTGTGTGTGTGTGGGGGGGGGGGGTCAGCGGTTGTTTTTTTTCCTTCGCAGAGAAGAAGGAGCGCGGCCTTCCTTAGCTTCTCCTCGTGATTGCTTCGTTATATATATTTTTTTCACGCACAGTGGCAAATATACCAACAAGGACAGGAAATTAAATTTGCTGTTGAGGCGGTGGGAAAGTCAGGGAACAGTGTTGGGAAAGGGTGGGGGAGGGGGGGGGAGGGGGAGGGGAGGGGGGGGGGATTCCGCCTGAGCGAATATTTACTGTGAAGCGAATCGACTGGGACCACGAAATCCGGCCACGTCGGGGCTCTGGCTTCCCCGGGTCCAGGCTGAGGGGAGCCGGGGGGGGGGGGCAGCGGCTGCCCTCACCCTCACCCTCTCCCCCCACCACCCTCTCCGGTGCAGGTGCCGCTCCTCTGGGCTCGGGGTGGCCGCCCCGGCGTGACGTCAGGCGCGGGCGGTGCGGGGCGGGGAGGCAGCTGTTTGCGGGGCAGCGGTCGGTCGGTCAGTCAGAGGGAGAGGGTAGAGAGACGCCACGCACTGCCCCAGGCCCCCGGCGGGGGAAGGGGAAGATGTTCGCCTGCGTGCGCTACCTGCAGGGCCAGGTGCACCACATCCTCCCCGCGGCCCACATCAAGAACTTCCACCCCGCCTCCAAGGCCGACTTCAACAGGAGGCAGGTGTACCGGCTGCCGCCGCCGCTCGGCGGCCCGGGCCCGGGCCCGGGGGTCCCGGGGGAGTCGGACGGCGTGCCGGGCAGCGCCGTGGCCAAGCCCGGCCCCTGCCGCAAGGCCCAGATCCTGGCCCTGGGAGGTAATGTGTCTGTGTGGGGTCGTGGAGGGAGGCCGGGGAGGGAGTGGGGGGGCTGGGGGTGTCCCATCATGTCACGCTGTCCTGGCAGCAGCCTGAAGCTGGAGGGCATTATTATTATTATTATTATTATTACTCCCCCAACAAAATAAATAACATAAATAAATAAAAATTGTCGCTGACACTGGTGCAAAAACGGTTAAAACACGTGGCAGCTTCTCCCTCTCTCTCTCTCTCTCCCCCCCCCCCCAATGCTCGGGGAGAGGGTCTCTCCCTCACCCCCCCCCCCCCCAATGCTCGGGGAGAGGGTCTCTCCCTCACCCCCCCCCCCAATGCTCGGGGAGAGGGTCTCTCCCTCACCCCCCCCAATGCTCGGGGAGAGGGTCTCTCCCTCACCCCCCCCCCCCCCCAATGCTCGGGGAGAGGGTCTCTCCCTCACCCCCCCCCCCCCCCCCCAATGCTCGGGGAGAGGGTCTCTCCCCTCACCTGGTTTTGCACTTCTCATGGCGTTTTAAACCATGTCCCCCCCCCCCCCCCACTACCATACATAATTTTTTCCCTCTGATTCTTAATCCTTTTTTTTCTGTCCACTTTCCCTTCTCTTGTCAAAAAAAAACATCCCCGAAAACATTTTTTTTCTCTCTTATTCGCACGTTATTTTTTTACCCCTTGTTTTAAGAGCAGGAGCGGCAGCCGCTATCCGACAGCGGGTGAAGCTCGCGCTTGTATTCCTTTTGTTGATGGTTTTTTTTTGGGGGGGGTAAATGTCACGTCTTTTGGATAATAATAATAATAATCCTTGGATTTGATATAGCGCCTTATCGCGTCTTCGTTGACGTTTTCAAAGGGCTTCACAGTAAAGTAAAGTGAATGGACTGTGATTGGATGGCTTGGGCACTGACCTGCAAGGACGGTGCTGAGAGGGGGCAAAGGGCATTCCTGACCGCCTTCAACGATCATTTATTTGGATGCAAAGGCGAGGCCCGTGGTGCAGTGCAACAGTAAGGTTGAAGAGCGTGGCGGAGAATGTCAACAATCGGTCTCCCTGGATCTGAAATGGCCCTGAAGTGATGTGCTTAGCAACGCAATGTCATAATCGAGTCAACCCTCTGCAGCGGTCTCAGTATTCCAGTTCCTGAGCCAAGCGGGTCTCGGCCACTGCTGACGACCGCGGTGGTGGGCAGCCCCACTGGGGCTCCTTTGCAGGACTTGGAGGAGCAGGGATTCCCGTTGTTAACGCTGCAAGCCGAAGCCACGCTTGAAAGCAGTGGTTCATAAAAGAATATGTGATTCAATGTTCCTAGCAGTGGAATTGTGAGCGAGCATACTACCCTTCATTTCTTACTGCCCCCCTCTTCCACCTGAATAACCTGCTGATAGTTTGTCAAAATTCATAGATTGGCAATGGGATGGCCCGCTGACATGAAAGGCACGAGGCAAATGTATTTTATATTGATTGTATTGGCTGCTCAGGCTGAATGATTGGAAAATAACCCAGTTACCTAGGAGTCCTGTAGCTCAGCGGTTAGAGCACTCGCTTTGCAAGTGAGAGACCTGAGTTCAATTCCAGGCAGAGGGCGAAACCTTGGGCAAGTTTCCTTACTCCACACTCCTAATAATAATCCCTCCAAAACAAAAAACAATAAGAAATTGGTCATTTTCAATCTACGACTGTTAGTGGGACATTGCTGTGCGCAATTGACTGCCGCGTTCGCCCACAAATATAGTCAATTCACTTTACAATGTGTTCTGTGAAGCGCTTTGGGACGTCCTCCCGACGTGAAAAGCGCTATATCAAATGCAAGGATTATTATTATATCCTACCAGAATCAATCACTTTTAAAAGAGGATGAGAGTAAAATGGAGGAGGAGAGAAGCAATAGTATTGAGTGATATACAATAAAAATGTTGCAAAATTAAAAGTTCCTGATATTCTCTTTTTTCTTAAAACAAACTGTTTCCTTCAACACACAGACAGCAGGGAAGAGCTGGAGAAATTCTTGAAATTGAAAAGATACAAAATAATTGACAATTTTATCGAAGAGTCTGAATCTGACGATGGTGATCATACTGAGGATGAACCACATCAATTCTTCGGCATCCAGGTACAAAATTTGATTCAACTGGAAAAATGTTGAGTAGGTTTGTGTGTAGATGGTACCTTGGAGTTACAAAAAACTGAAGTTAGTGCAGTATTTTTTCTGGTACATATTCCGTGAGAATATTACACAACTAGCTTTTAACTACATTAACTAGAACCTACATTAATGCAACATTTATGTCATTAACTGTTGCTAATGTTCCCAATTTAATGGGTAGGTTGTAATATATGATAAAATATGAACATTGAAGAAAACATGGAAACACATGGATTTCAGCTTTTGCTACAGCTTTGGCTACTAAGATGAAAAGCAGGAATCTTAGGAAAACTTGTTTGGCACATTCTGTGGAATATTGTATTTTTCAATGAATGCTGAATGTGATCTTTCAAAAATACATTTCTAGTGGATTGTTTTCTCAGTAGAACTGAAAATTACTATGTTTATAGTAATTGACAAAATGGGAGGAGAATTTTCCCAGCTTGTAACACCACTGAAATTAGTCTTCCAGAAATATGAAAACTATCTTTGCAAAATTCCTAACATCCTGGTTTTATGGGGAAGGGGAGCTGTTTATTGCCAAATTGATGCATTGTCTTTGTTATGCTTTTCAAAAATGTTATACTTTAATGCATATTTGTACCGCTGATTTGACACCAGTGAGATTTGATGTTCACTTATATAAGATCCTAATCTCTTCAGGTCCTACACCTTGCAGTATAACTTGGGAATTGCAGTGTTTTTTTTTAAAAAGAACTGTAAACAACAATTTACATTGATATAGTAACTTTCAGGTGGGGTAGCATCTCAGGCCGCTTAAGAGTTTTAAAAACAAAATTTACAAGGTTCTGGATAGTACACTGATCCACCTAACATTTTTAATGCTTATTAATAGTTTTCATGGAGATGTTTCTTCGTTGGTGAAGTGCATCGAGTATTCATTTCTGGTCCTGTGGTTTGGTCAGTCTTTTTTGTTTGTCTTCTAGGAAAGATGAATTTCCTTTGAGGACGAACAGTGCAAACTTTAGGAGACTTAAACTGAACCTAAATTTTCTTCTGCAAGTATCCTATAAATTGAATGTGACTTAATTCTGTCCTGTTGATTAATGGATTTCAACCAATGCAGAATAAATGTTACCTCATACTGTACTTCCATCAAACGAATGGTGCCTTGTGCAGTTTTCATAGCAATTTAAAATGTACCAGAGACCAATCGTTGTCTAATTGTTCATTGAAAGCAAACGGGCTTGGAGAGTGAATAAAGTGACGTTAGCAAGGAGAAGAGGAAATTGAAGATTAACAATGTTGGAGTCATGTTCTGGGAAGAAAAATCTTTTTTCAACTAACAGTTGAAAAAAATATTGCTACACAAAGCAGGAAGTGACTGTTGGGGACCCGATTACCCAGAAGTTGGCCTTTTCTGTTTCTTGTTATTGTATGAATTCCAACAATCACATTATAATAGGCCTCCCCTATAGTCTGTGAAACATAACAGGCATTTATATTTTTATATTAATTGCCTCATTGTCTGTTTCATGTAGTGTGCCAGACCAACAAATTTGATTTCCCCGCATTGTGCAAATATTTATCGAATTGCCCTTCAGCAATATGTGTAATATATTTCACATATTTGTGTCTGGCTGCTTTGGGAGAAGTTCAACATGGGGTTAATCTGGCGGTGCACCTTATATCCCATCAAATGTGGGAAGTCATTTTTTTAAAATCTAATTTTCTAATGAATGGTGGTTTCATTTGCAAACAGGAAGTTTCTATTAGCACAGAAATATACAGTTTATACATTGCCTTCTCACCCCCCCTTATCTTTAAATACATATTGAACTTGCTAATTAACTTTAGCTCATTATAACGTGTACGCGGAATGGCTATACATCCATTCATTGCTGAATCTAGTTAATATTTTAAATATTAATCACTTTGATTTTTGATAGTTGAGGAACATAAGACACTAATTTAACATAGATACTTGTTGCACCTTTGTATAATTTGTGCCCCCTTTATTGCTATGTGAATAGGTCAATTAATCATGGAATGTGAATGCAATCTGTTTTGCAAATCATTATAGCAAAAGGCAATATTCGGTCCATTGTGAAATGTTTTGTCTGACAATATCTAATTATTTGCATTTAAGATTAAATTTCCTTCCTCCTTGCTTCTCTTCCCCAACCCTACCATGACAAAGTGTTCAATGTATTTTTTATGTTGAATTAAGAACAGAAGAGTTATTTGTTCCGTTTCTCTCAGGAGCAAGATGTAATGTGCTTTGAAGATAGTAGTGACGATGATGACCACACGCTGAGGATCTTTGATGAACTCAAAAATAAATATTCTTGTGTCAAGGCCAACAATAAAAGGTTGATTCAGGAACTTAAAAAAGTCAAGACAAAACTCCACTTTGCTGAAGAAAGACAAAAAGAATATGAACATATGGCTTCTGAGCTACAAAGACTGAGGGACCTCAACATGGATCTTCAAAATGCACTACTTTTGAAGTTATTTAGATGTAAGTTTCATCTTCAGAGGAAAAAAAGTTTGTTTGATTTCAGATGACAAACTAGTGACTTGGGTGTGATGAGGGGTAGGTAAATGAGGTCTGACTCAAAAAGTGACGTATTTTACTCAGAATGTCGGAATCAAGTCATCATTCTGTGTCCGTCTCAGTAGTCTGGTTCCTGAGTCAAGCAGATCTGCAGACAAATCATTAACCATTTTAACTGGTTAATCGCCAGCAGTACCCCCAATGTACACCGTGGAGACCCCAAGCCTCGGCTCTCACCAAACTGCTCCAAATACTCACTGGAGTTAGCAATCGGAGAGAGCGTGTACGTTCCATTCACGGGAATATCCATAATAAATAATCGTTGCATTTGATATACCACCTTATCACGCTGTTGAGATGTCTCAAAGTGCTTCACAGAATATACTGTAAAGTAGAGTGACTGTATTTTGTGGATGAATCCATGTGTAAATGGATTCTATATATGTAGAACTCTGTCTGGTTTGGATATACTTAAGTATATGGTAATGATTTTCCGCATGAGTCAGATATCCTTCTGACCAAAAAAAGGAGTGAAAAAAATCATGAGTGTATTATTCCCATGACTATGTAAATTCTGATAAATTAATCTTTGTTGAATTGTCTAACTTTTTACATCCTTTCATGTATTACTCTGCCCTGCAACAGTTCGTGGCAGTTTAGGTTTAGCAAAGCACATTCTAGGTACTAAACTTTAAAACCTTAAGCCTGGTAAATAAATTGTGCAGTTAGTGAGATGTAATAGCTAATCATTTAATGTACACTGGAAATTTAATACAGTGTACTCCGTAAAATTGCATGGACAGATCCATGCAACTTTTTACTTGTATGGGGTATGCAATTACCTGAAGTTAATTAGTCGCATCATCTTCTCGTTGCTCTCCGCGCTGCCACTCTCCATGCTGTCGCTCTTTGTATCTCCCACTCCAGCTCTCTTTCCATCATTGTCTGTGCTGCCTCTCTTTATACCTCCCGCTCATCTCTTCCCATCGCTCTTTATGCTGCCGCTCCCTGCACTGCCTCTCTTTATACTACCCATTTAGCTTGCTTCCTGTCGCTCTCCCTGCTGCCTTTTTTTAAACACCCGTTTCATCTTTTTTTCCAGTTGTTCTCAGCGCTTCCTCTCTATGCCTCCCGTTTCACTTTCATCCATGCTTCCTTCCATACATACACCTCAAGGGGCCAACTCCTCAACCAATGTAATTATCCAATCTAATACATGTACAAATGAAATTGACAGGCTATCTTTCATGCAATTAAGTGAATTACACAGTTATCTGGTACACATTTGAGTGGAGTGCAGTACCATGCAAACAAATAGTGAATATTCAGTTCCCAGAAATTGCTATGCAATTAAATGGGAGCATGTAATTATCCTATATGCAATTAAGTGGAATATACTGTATTTGTAATGTTTCTTAAAGAAATTCATGTGCTATAATGTCTAGTCTCAATGTTGCAAAGTGCTTCCCTGGTAATTGCTGTCACATGTTGTGACTGTATATTTGTAGGCAAACAAGGCAGCCAACAATGTCCTACATACAGGCATGAAATAAATAAATTAATCATTTATCTGGAAGATTGTTGGCCAGGACATAGGATGAAACTCCCTTGTACTTTCAAAATAGTATGCAGGAGGAAATTCTTGTGAGTGGTAGGTGCACAGCCTTTGGCAAAGGTGGTCATTAATCAGATTTCCCATTATGCTCACCCACAGCCAAAGATGCTGCATGTAACGCTTATCAGAAGTTTTACCCAATGTGATCTTTGAAGTGCTTTTGAACAGGTAGATGGAATCTTGGTTTAATATTTCATCCAAAAGACTGCGCCTCTGACAATGTAGTGCTTCCCCAGAGAGAACTGGAGTGTCATCTTTCACTGTAAGCTTGGAGAACTGATGTAGGCCTTTGAACCCACAACCTTTTGACCCAGAGGCTGGAGTGTTGCCACCTGAGTATAAAGCTGATAATCACTTGGAACAATTCACTGAAATTTGTGTGGTGCATGGCATGCTGGAGTACCAGTGTTGGGCACATGTTTCTTCGCTGAATTCTTGATCGCCACTTAGAAAAAAAGTGTTACTGGGCTGCTTGCACACTTCTTTAGTTGTCCATCTTAAACAGCTGATGCTTAGGAGCCGGTCACTCAACTACTCAGTCAGATCAGAGGGTGAGGAAAACCTTGGTACCTCTACAGTCAGCCATTTAGTTTGGGATTCACTTTGGTGGGGGGTGATTCCAGTGCCCGTCTATTAGAACATGTTGAAGAGATATTTTTGGCATCTTGAAGAGTTGTCATGTCAGGACTCTGGCTCTTCCAAGCTAATCTGGTGATATAGTTTACATCTTGAAATGCTGTTCATTTTAACGCAAGCCATTGCCTCTGGACTTATCCAAAGTGGTTCTACCCTTGGAAATCAGTATTGGTGCACTAACATATATACCACTCAGGCATCCTATACTGCAAGCCTTTAGTGTATGTTTCACTGGTACCGGATCATTTGCAAAATTTGTGTTTTGATTATGTGCTGTTTATAGTTTCTTCAAATTATTCACATCATAAGTGCTTTGATTTTGTTACAGCTTTTATGAAATAATGAAAATTATTTAGCTTTTAAATTTGCTGTTCCTCAGTACTATCCATTGCCTGGTTGGCATCCTGGAGCTTTCTCTAGCTTACCCACGCGTACGGAAGCTGCATACGATCATTTGGGTAATTAACCACTGAAATAAGGTTAGCCACTAAGAGTAGTTGAGGCCAGGATCTGAACTCTTAAGCAACAAACCGGTTGATATTGTGATGGGAGGATGGGATGGTGGGATCAAATGCATCGAAGGGCCTTCTTCCAAACCTCTCTTGTGATTAGGTAGACATGTTTTCATATGTAGTGCAGGTTTCATTGCCAGTTTCTGGTAAGATTTGACTATCAACAAACAGTTAAATAATTTTGCAAAAGAAGATTAATAAATAATAATAATAATCCTTGAATTGCAATGATTAGATGAGAATATTAATAGTAGAAAGGGATAGTTCTAGTGTAAAATATGTTCTTCCCTGTGATGTCATGCAAAAGTAATTTCTGAATTCCTCTCCACAGCCTAAAGGAGTCCAGAAATTATAGGTCTGCAAGTCAGCTCAGCTGATTTTAGCAACTGTTCCATCAGCAGCAGCTCCACATGGTCTCTGGCAGTGGTCATCCATGACTGAAAAAAGATGCTAGTGAGTGGTAACTTGCTGATATCAGCTGAACAACTCTTTGCAACTATCAGAGCAAATATCCATGAAGCTGTGGTGAGGAGATTAAAAGTAAGATTCTTCCACATTTTATTCAACCTCCACATACAAAAGGGAACTTCCATCAGCCAAAATAAAAAAAAATCACAGTAGGAATAAGGGAACCTGCTCAAAATAATATGTTCAGGTCCGGATTAGTTAATGAATTAAGAGAATGCTCTGAACAAAACGATTCGACAGCACAAAGAAATCGGAAGGAAGACATAAGGTTACTGAGACACTTCGGCAAGACTGGGACTACATTCCATTGTAGTGCTGTGGGTAAGCTACATTATCGGAGTGCTATCCTCTGGTTGAGTAGTTAACCTAATCTGAAAGTTCAGCCAAGGTATAAGTCTGGCTCAGATGGTAGCACTCTTGCAGCTGAGTCACAAGGTTGCGGGTTCAAGCTCCATGTCACGACTTTGAACTCATAGTCTAAGCCAGTAGTGGCCAACCAAGGAAATAAATGTTCTTGATTTATGGCTTACATCAGCCTAGACCAGTTGAGGCCATGGGTTGGCCATCACTAGTCTAGGCTGACACTCCAGTGCAGTGTTGGGGAGCACTGCATTGTCACAGATGTTGTTCAGGTTAGACTTTAGAGTTCAGGAAGACGAGAGATCCCATGGCACTATTCATAAAAGATAAGAGAGTTTCTTCTGGTTTCCTAGCCAACCATCCCCCAGACAAAATTGTTCAGTTCCAGCCTTCTGCATGTCTCCCGTTCCCTCTACCATGCCATCAGCCTCTGTGTCCTGAAACTGAACTCCCTGCATCAATTCCTCCGCCTTGATCATTTTCATATTTCACCCGAAGACTTTCCGCTTCGACTGTGCCTAAGGTCGCCTCTCCGTCTCTGTGTCAAGCTCCGCCATCGTTAAAGCATTCTGAAATGTTTTCCAGTATGAAAGGTGTTACATAAATTCAAGTTGTTATCATTCATTCATGGTATTGGTGGGACATTGCTTGTGGCAAATTGGCTGCCAGTTTCAACCACAAAAAACAGTCACTCCACTTTACAATATACACTGTGAAGTGTTTTGGGACATCCTTCTGATGTGAAAGGTGCTATAGCAAATGTAAGGATTATGATAAAGATTATTGACAACTTCATCCAACATTGAGCAAATGTTTGGTGTCAATGACAAACTTGTTTTAGTTGAGTGACTACAGCATTAACATTTCTAACTTGCTCAAACTTGTATTTAAGCTTTCTGACCAGCAACCCAAATGAATCACCTCATGTTATTTCATTCTTAATTCAGGTTGATCCCAAGATTCAATAAAGGAAGAACAAAAATAGGGTATGATGGATTATCTTTTAAGAGATGTTTGTTGGAGTCCTTTATAGTTATCTCAGTTATTGGGATGGTATCGCAGCATATATTTGGCTTTGCTAAGATGGTCACTGAGGTGTCTCCTGCTGTAAGGCATGGGTCAAGCTCTGACATTAATGGGTACAAGAACTCAGCAACATCACGCAATGCCTTTGCACTTTCAACTTCTAATTGCCTGTTTTCTATCTTGATTTTGGCAGGGGAATGGTTTCATTTTCCAGGTACTTCTTCAGCTAGTGACTTGGGACAGAGCATTCCTTTGCTCCATATTCAACATTGATTTCTTTTGTGAACAATGCTCAATTGCTTCCCAATTAGGAGCACAATTACCATAATATCTTTGATATGAATAAGAACTCTGTAGATTCAGTGAATGCGCTAGTGAGTCATGTTTTTCCAGATGTATTTTTTATTATTATGCACTAATTTTTCTTCAATAAACCTAAAAAGTACTAGGTGGCAGGACATGACACAGGAGAGGGATGGATTTGGGATTGATAGATCATTAAAACAATTTTTATTAGCATAGTGTGTAGTAACCGTAAAAAGATCTAATAGGATGGCAGGATATACAGCATAAGTGATGGAGGATATGTCAGGAAGTGGTGCTGAACTTGTGCAGGACACCTCCTGGAGAAGTGGTGTAGAACTGTTTATTATTTAAGTTATTTGATGAAAGGAATCCAGCCATCTCCTCAAGGAACAGTTTGAGCACCGAAATACACCATTTATTAAAAACTAAACAGCTTTATTAAGCATCAAGTCAGAAATGAAAGCTAAGGGTAGACGAAAGGGGAGATTTCTACATGGAAATATAATAAATTAAGAAAAGAATACTTGGAATTGGTAATACAACTGGAACTCAAGTTAAAATGGAAATTTACTGTTATCTGGCGGGAGATCTTGATTAGGTTGAAACTGTTAAATAAACTATTTTGAAAACAACAACAAATTCCATTTGTATAGCTCCTTTCAAGTCAGGAGGACGTCCCAAGGCGCTGGACAGTCAGGGATCTGCACCTGAGCTGGTAGTTGGGATCAAAAGGGTTGGAAGGCAGGGAGGGTAGGGGTGGCAGGGTGACCGGAGAGGAGAGTATTGCGACTGGTCTTGAAGGAGTCAGGAGGAGCGAGGAGGAGGTACTGTGAGATGGAGTTCCACAGGGTGAAGGCAGAGAGGCTAAAAGCCCACCTGCTAATGCTGGGACAGACAAGGTAGGGGACGTGAAGCAGGCCGGAGCCGGCTGAGCAGATGGAGCGGACAGGTTGGTAGGGAATTAGGAGGTCACAGAGGTAGGGAGGCGCAAGGCTGTGGAGTGCTTTGAAGGTGACCAGAATCTAGAACTATTCTTTGAGTGATGGGGAGCCAGTGGAACCGGGCGAGGATGTGAGTGATAGGGTCGCGGAGCCTGGTGCAGGAGAGGACACGGGCTGCAGAGTTCTGGATGATCTGCAGCCTATGGAGGGAGGAGTTGGGGAGGCTGGCAAGCAGGGTGTTTGGGTAGTCGAGCATGGATGTGATGGCAGTTTTGATGCAGCTTGCTGATAACTCTAAACCTGTTATATTACATACATTTAAGAAACAACACAGATAATTTCTGCTTAAAGAAGTCGGTTAGAGTCTATTTGCCAGAGTTCAACAGTCCTCCTTTAATCTTGCAATACTGGAAGATCCTACCTTCTCATCATCCTGGGTCTGTTGCTCGCATTTGTATTTTGTCCTTGTTAACTCGTGTATTTCCACTTTGACTTCTTTTCGGGTTTCTTTTAACCGTGAATGGAAGTGGCTTTTAGTGCTCTCTGGTGTGCTCTTTTTCAAAATCTCTGCATGATCTTCAAATATGCAAAATAGTATTGAAATGTACTTTCAAACATACAAAGTAGTATCGGATTTTTTATGCAAGGTTTATACTGTGCATTTGACAGCAAATTGTTGCGATTTTGGCACCAACTCACCACCGAAGGTGCAGTATAAACTGGGACTCAGCAGCAGCAATTGTGGTTCTGGAGATAGTTACTCCCTCACAATTGTGGGCTGTAAAATACAGCTGTACTCACATGCCCATGCTGCAATGAAAATACTCTGGCTCTCCATTTAATCTGGCCCATGAGTTTTCAATCCATCGTTTTCTAAATGATCTTAAAGAGCTGGTTAAATGAGGTGGGTGGTGGGGGTGGTGTTGCGGAATTTGCAGCAACTTGAAGCTTAAATCGGACTTCCTGTTCCATTTGCTAAGCTGCTAGGAGTAAAGTGTCATTGTTCCCAGCAGTCTAACACTAGTAATGTGGCATCAATACACCACAATAGTGTTTGCTCAAGTTTTTGCGACTGGCTTGAATGCTCTGGATTGAAAAAAGATTCTATGGATATTCCCGAATAGACTTGACCCAATTACCACACTTATGAGAGGTGTGATGTACAATGTTCTCTGTGAGAACTGACAACTTTTGTGAATTTGTGTTAGAATTCTTCATCACTCGTTTTTACTTGTGTTCTGTTACATTATCGCTTTTCCTCCCCATCTGACTTTCTCTGTTGACCCCGTGGCTAGGATTTTAATGCACATAGCATTTTTATCCCACATTGTGTTGTGTCCACCAAGACTTCCACAAGGCAGTGGATGGATTTGTAAGACAGTTTCAGTGTAATGTGAAAAACCCAACACATTGTGTATGATCCATTGTGTGTCCTGATGCAATATTTGTAAGTGGAGGTGCTCAAATACATTCTACTTCTGGCAGAGGGATGCCATAATGCAGGCATTACTATTTAAAATTCATGTTACTCATACTGTGCTTTAGAACCCAATGACAATTACACTGCACACTAATGCTGCTGGTATTCATTATCAAACAGGTGGGCAGTGGATGAATAGGTAAATAAAATTTGTGTTAGCCAGAGAATACTGACCTCACACACTGCACACTCCTGCCTTCTCCAGAACTTGGGACACTATTATATAGGCACTTAAGCAACATATGACTCGCTACATTTGGGTTTGAATAAAAATTTCCTCCAGGATTCTTAAAAATACAGTATTAAAAAAGTTTCCTCCCTTAACTTAAAGTACTAATGAAACAAAAATGTATTGGAAATTTCAGCCAGTGTTGCATAATATAAATTAAATATAAAATGCTTTGAAACGTATGCATGATTAACTTAATATGGAAACATTTCATTTTTGGTGGAAGGTTAAATGCCCGGTATTATCAACATTACTTGGAAATCATAGTTTTTTGATAATTTTTTTTAACAATCTCAACATTAATTGTCTAAGTGTGGCAAAGTGCAACCACATCTTTCACTATCTTGTTTCCTTCATTCTCCCAAATAATTTAATTTATGTTCATCATCTTGTCTCTGTTTTCTGATTATTTTCATTTTCACTCCCTATTCAATCTTTAATAATATTTCCTGTAATTTGAATTGTTGAAGGTGGTTGTTCAATGAGATTCCAAAACAATAAATATGGTGACTATATTAGGTAATTTACATTGAATTGATTTCTTTATAAACCATACTAAGTACTTGGATTGAGTTTTTAATTTTTCAAATTGATTTTAATATTTTTGCATTTTCAGTGCCAGAACAGTATCATGGATCGAATCCTGAAGAAGAGCTGATTGAGCATGCGGCAACAGATAGGCTGATTTCCAGTACTCCAGTAACATCCATTCTTCAAGACCATTTTAACATGCAACAGAGAGCATACGGCTGCAAGAAAAGTCCACATGTTTTACCGACTCCCAGTACCTCCAATCATCTGGAGAGCCAACTTGAAAACGGGAACATCATGGTGCCATGTTCGTGGGGTTCAACCCAAGCCATTGCTGTAGCTCAGCCTAATGTTTACGCTGTACAAGATGGAAAGGTAATGTCAGATTTATGTATTAGAAATACATTTCTATATTTTACGTATATAAGCTAATTTGGGAAATAAAGATTCTAATCCATGTTTTGGTAATATATGTTTTTTTACTATTTATCTCCAGACGATCATCTCAGTGTTTGATTGTGGTGTTAATTTTAGGTTCCATCAGCCATTAATTTAGATGGAGTAAAGGGACTTCCCTGCTGTGGCTATTATAAACAAACTTGTGTTTTTTTTCTTTCAGTTATCCTAGTTTATAATCCCCTCCAAATCTATGCCCACAAATTGACTGCTCATTTCATTGTTGCATATGGGACATTGCTGACGCAGTTTATCTGCTGCATTTGCTTATATAACAACATTAACTTAATTTCTGATCAATTATATTTTGTAAAGTGCCTTCTTTCTACATGAAAGGTGCTATATAATTGCAAGTTGTTGTTGTCGTCAATAGGTCCACATTGGAGCTAATATATGGATTGACGAGGACAAATGGGAGACTGTGAAACGTCAGCCAAGTGATTCAAGATTTACAAAGTGTTTGGCAGTAGCTGTCTGGGGAGTGGAAACGCTAAAAGACAGGAGTGTCACTGGAATTGCATGCAATTCAACAAAGTCATCACCTAAACCACCTCTTTCCCCTTATAAAGTGCAAGTTATTAAAGGTAATTTTGTAGAATAGGGACAATTTTTAATCTTAAAACAAATGTTTAACTTTCTGAGTTTCTTTCCATCATACATCATATCAGTATATCTGCACTAAATGGGACTGGCCATGTTATGTTTACGGAAAATGGCAGGTAACAGGTCATTAAGCATAGTACAGTGTTAACTAAAAACTTCCTGGACCAGAAATTATGCTGTCACAATAGTACCACAATACTACTGCTTCCATTCCCTCCCCATGTTGTGCCTTCTCCTCTCCCTCCATGCTAACTGCCCTCAGCATGGTATCAGCCCCTCTATTTGTCTTCCCCTCTAACCTTTTACTGTACACTACTTGTGTCAGAGCAGTCACTAACTCCTGTTGCTAGAGTTCAAGTGTGCAAACTGGAAAAATATGTCGCAGGTTACAGATACGCATTCTAAAACTTATGAATTGTGCAACTAAAGTTTTGTTGTGTTAAAATTTCATCACAATTTTTTAATCTAGGATTTTGGCTCTTAAACTAATCATAGTACCAAACTGTTGTTCCAGGTTTTAGATTAGCTAACTCAAACCATGATTTGAACTTGTAAATTTCCCACAGAGATGAATTGTCTGAACTGTGAATAGTTCAGTGCCACTTCTACTATCTTTGTAGAATATAATGAAATCTGAATTGCCAAGCGTTCCTAATGCTGATTGATAATGCCTAGATTTTAGCATTAAGCAAACTTAGAAATTCTTTTCCAGGCAGACTTGCATGTGTATGCCTTTATGGCGAATGAAACATAGACTACAAAATTAATGACATATTACAGATGAATTCAAATTTTATAGTGATCGGAATTATGTTTCTTGCTTTGTACAATTTAAATGTTTCATGACTGCTTTGGAAATGTTTACTTTATGCAGGCGTTGATGAGCTCATCAAACCTATTTCAGTTGTTCTCGTTTTCTTATGTCGTTTTATTTTTATGTAAATTTTCTACTTGACAAATATATTTACTTTAAAACAAACATTGTTGGCAAATTCCATGATTGTTTTAATATTTTAAAAGTATTCAATATGACTTATTTATAGAACTAAATACTTGTGTTTCTTCCCTTCACAGAACAATTGTTGAATAGAATAAGACAAGATGCCAAAGATGATAATGAAATTCATAAGCGACTAAATAAAGTGAATCGATATATAGGGGAGAAAATAATGGACATTAATAAACAATGGCGAAAAGCCAAAGCAGACTTATCAAAATTTAGGAACTGTGAGTGTGAGATGGGGCTAAAATGTGAAACTCATGCTGATTGTGAAAGATCTGAGGTACCTATCAAGGAAGAGATTGAAACATTTATCTACGAGTAATCTGCACGAGAGTTCATGTTGTGTGATCAGAAAGTTGTGTTTATGAAAACACTGGCTATAATTGATGTATATTACTACTGCTTGTTATTCATATCATTTCTGTTAATGATAGAATGAGCCAACTGAAAATGTTTTTCTATTACTTATATATAACTGTCAGTTTTAAACAGTAAAACTCCTGTTACTCGTATCTTTTGGGACCATAACATTTAAAATGCCTTACTCAAAGTCTGATTTGCAGGCAAATTGTGAAAGTCCTAGAAAATCCAATTTAATCAAAATATCTACACTGCGCGTGCATAATTTAATGTAGCCAGTATGTGATAACTCGTCCTTGCGATCTTGCACATGACGTGACGGGTTAAGACTACATTTCCCAGATTTCCGTACGTCTTCACCAGTCCCTGCATGTGCACTTACAGACGAGCGTTGGAATTGTGTTGAATCACAGGAAATGAAGTTCTTCTGCACGTGCATTGAGGATCAAGACGTAAGTTTCCTGTGATTCATTGCAGCCGACCAGTAAGCACGCATGCGTCGACAGGCTAGGCGTAATTTCCTGCAATTCAAAACCTCCGGTAAGTGCAGGAATGTAAGGGAGTGAGGTTAGGAATTAAAAGGTGAGTAGCACAAATCGTGCAAAGACATCTTAAGTGGTTTTGATAGGAAACTGAATGGGACTCGAGTGAATACACACCTTGGGCGTTTATCCGATTTATAAAGATAAGACTTATGCAAGTTTTACTATACCATCAGTAATGTTAAATGAGGGGAATTTTTTTTAAAAATTCTTATGATTTTAAATATTGTAGCTGAGTGGTCAGCACTAATTTTAAATGATGTGTTACATCAAGATGTCCCATTCCCCCCCACCAAAAAAAATCTACAATAATCATTCCCCTCCTTTACTGCAACTCCTATCCGTCTTTTTAAAAAAAAATGTTCAGGAAATTTATTTGAGAGGTGTGGGAGTATGAGAAATCATTAAGTTTTTATCTTTAATGGTTTTGTTACAAAATCTCTTAAAAATTTCTAAATGTCTTATGTGCGTGGTATACTTGATCTATTTTTAGCCTACATTCCTGTCATTTTGCTATGTGACTGCCTGCTTTTCTTCTGTCAAACAAGTGTCTTGCACTTGCATATCTTCTCTTGACCCAGTGTTTATGTATTGGCAGTAACTGCCACAACATGAAAACTGTTATTACTGAACACAACTGTGATGATCTCACCACATTAATCTATCAAGGTGCCATGTTTTGACAACAATCAAATCAGCTTCTCTAAAACTTGACCCTCTGAGAATAAAGAGTTCACAAGAAATTGTATCCTGTTTTGAATATGCAATGTATATGCTATGAATGGCACTGAAGAAAATGCTGAAGTTTCAAATATCGTATTTTATGCAAAGAGAAGAAATGGTATAAAGTGGAAAGTAATGGATACTAAAGGATGCTAAGTAGTATTGAAGGAAATAGGAGAGGAAATTGCAGATGCATTCGTCATAATTTTCCAAAGCTCACTAGATTCGGGAATTGTGCCCTTAGATTGGAAAATTACGAATGTCACCCCTTTATTTAAGAAGGGAGGGAGAAACCGGGAAACTACAGACCTGTCAGTTTAATGTCAGTTGTAGGGAAAATACTGGAATCCATCATCAGGGACAAAGTGACCTAACACTTGGACAGGTATGAGTTAGTCAAAGAGAGTCAACATGGGTTTGTGAAGGATAGGTTGTGTCTGATTAATCTAGTTGAATTTTTTGAGGAGGTCACTAAAATGATGGATAAGAGTGTCTACAGATGTTGTTTATTTGGACTTTCAGAAGGTATTTGATGAGGTTCCACACAAAAGATTATTATTGAAAATGGAAGCGCGTGGAGTCGGAAGTAGCCTTGTGACGTGGCTTGGTAATTGATTGGGAGGCAGGAAATAGAGAATGGAGATAAAGGGAACGTTCTCTGATTGGTAGGACATGACAAGTGGTGACCTCCATGGGTCTGTACTGGGACCCCAGCTATTCACCTATATTATATATATATATATATATAGACTTGGATTAAGGAATAGAAAGTTTTATATCCAAGTCTGCAGACAACACTAAGCTAGGAGGCTCAGTAAGTTGTGTAAATGGGAGTAGAAGGTTACAAAGGGACTTAGACAGATGAAGTGAGTGGGCAAAGCTGTGGCAGACAGAGTTCAATGTAGGGAAGCATGAGATCATCCATTTTGGACCAAAAAAAGATAAAGCAGAATGTTTTCTCAATGGGGAGAAATTAAGAACTGTGGAGGAACAAAGAGATTTGCGTGTCCACAAATCATTAAAAACTAGTTCCCAGTTGCAAAAAGTAATCAAAAAGGCGAATGGAATGTTGGCCCTTATCTCAAGGGGTCTGGAATACAAAAGGGGAAGAAATGATGCTTCAGCTGTATAGAGCGTTAGTCAGACCCCCATCTGCAGTGCTGCCTTCAGTTTTGGGCACCACACCTCAGGAAAGATATATTGGCCTGAAGGGGATGCAGCTGTTCACCAGAATTTTACCAGGCCTAAAAGAGTTAAGTCACAAGGAAAGGCTGCGTAAGCTTGGATTGTATTCCCTTGAGTTTAGAAGGTTGAGGGGTGATTTGTTGGAGGTATTTAAGATGATAAAGGGATTTGATAGGGTAGATACAGAAAAGCTATTTCCTCTGGTGGGGGAATCCAAAACAAGGGGACATAGTCTTAAAATTAGAACCAGGCCATTTAAGCTTGAAATCAGGAAGCATTTTTTCACTCAAAGGGTGGTACAAATCTGGAATTCTCTCCCCAAAAGGCCGTTGATGCTGGATCCACCACAGCTTCAAGAGTGAGGTTGATAGATATTTGGTAGGTCAGGGTATTAAGGGATATGGGGAGAAAGCGGAAAATTGGAATTGAAAGGATTAGTTGAGGTACAGATCAGCCACAATCTAATTAAATAACGGAACAGGCTCGAAGGGCTGAACAGCCTCCTGTTCATATGGTACCCCTGAATAGCTTAGTGATGAAAATGTACAGCATGTCAATTAGCATCTGAGGAAAATGTGAGGTAAAGATTTCAGTATGATTCTACATCAAAATTCATTGTGATCGAGCAGCTCCTTTATAACACTAACATGACAAGTGAGATGAAACCAAGAAAGGAAAAGAAATAGGAAAAAGTTGAAAAAGTAAAATGACTAACTGCATACACAGAGGTTGCTGGTAGATTAAACCAGATTTAAAATTCTCAAAAGCAACTTAAAGAATGAAAGATTGGGATTATAAAAGCAAAAGACAAACTACAAATGAATAAAAGCAAGTGAAGTGCAATAGTCTCAAACGATCAAATTACTTATTTTTTATTTAAGTGATCATTAATTCAACAGATTTTTATTTTTACTATGAAACACCAGATTCTAAAGTCAGACACTAATTTTTTTTTAGTCAGCTGATACATACAAAACCACCATGCTTAAGAGTATCCAAACCAAGAATTCCATGTATCCCACCTACACATAGAGATCCCAGAGATAGATTGTTGGAGTAAAATGCACACTCTCCCTGGAGGGACGCATCCTGCTTGCCTAATTCCGGAAAGTATTAGGCACAGGTTGACAAAAGCCAAGGCTTGGGGACACGGGAGTGTACGTTAGGGTACTGCTGGACTCTAAATCAGCTAAAACTGCATAGCTTGCAATTGATATTGCTGTTTGGCAAGCTAGGACCGCCCTACCCATTAGGGCTTTGGTTGGCAGGAATAACAAGCTGAGTTTGATGAATCTCTGCCTCCAGTGACTCATCTGCCCTTCTAGGACCTACTGTAGGGCCATGGCTATGATGTCATTGGCAGTACCCTGGAATACTGTGTACCCATGTAGCTCAGTAACTGGATCACTGAGACCGCTACAGGGCTTTTGTAAGTATCTAATGAAATCAGAACTTTTTTTTCTGAGTCCTGTTGTGATTGTGTTCACAGGTTTCTGCTGCATGCTACAGTTTTTTTTTGGAATCCAAAGCAGACATTCTTGTTTATCTAGCTTAAATTATAAAGTTAATTATTTTTAAAGTTAAAAATTGTAAACTCAATCCACTTTACAGTATATTCTGTGAAGCGTTTTGAGATGTCGCAATAAGGCTCTGTATCAAATGTAAGGATTATTATTAGCTTCTATTGTGAGATGATCACTCTTATCTAGTAGCCTGTCCACACCTGAACTCTCAGGCCCGCTGCTTTCCCTCACCACCATAACGTTGCCCACCTACCCCAATATCTCACTCCACGAGCATCCTCATTCATGTTTTCATCAGATGCAGGCTTGACTGTGCCAATACCCTGCTCACCGGATTCCTCAGCTCTCCCACACAAGTTTCAGACTATCCAGAACTCTAGTTGCCTTGCCCAATTCTGCTTCTGTGACCTCTATCATCCCTATCTACCAGACTGCTCCCTTAGCTCAGTGAACACCGCCTGCTTTATGCCCCCTCTGCTATCTGCTATTAACGGCTGAGCTTTCAGCCATCTGCTTCCATTCTTGGGAACTTCATCCCAGAGTCCCTCCGATTGCTCCCTCCCAATGTTCAAAGCCCTTTTTTACCGCACTTTCAGTCATCTTTCCTGTGATCCTACTGACAAAGCCGCTCCTTTCACTCAGAGATCACTGGCCTGCTTCATGTCTCCCACCATATCTACCACACCATTGGCGGCCGAGCTTTCAGCCATTCTGACCCCGATCAATATTCTGAAAGTGTTCTGGAACTCCTTCCCGGATTCTCTTGGACCGATACCTCTATCATAGTTTCTTGAGAATAAAGTACACCACACTCAATGCATTCCAAATTGTTTAACACAGTCTCACTTCAAATACACTTTCTCCAATTTGTCTTCCAGCACCTTCCCTGACCTCAGTGTTCATGGTTTATACTCTGATTCTGTTCAGTCTCATCAGGTGATCAACACTGATATTAATTTCTTTCCTCGAAATGTTACCCTGATCCTGGTGCTTTTGGTTGCACCTGGCATGTTTTGATGTGCTAATAAAGCCAAGTGTACATCTCAGTCCACTTTTCTTGCCATCTTCATCATTTTCTCCACAATTTATACATTTGTCTCTGCAGACCCATTGCTCTGTGGATATCGTGTCAATGTTATGTGCTTGATGTCCCATTGTTATGCAAAATTCCCAAACTTCTGGGATGTGAATTACAGTCACTTGTCAGTAGGGCACAGCTTGCAACAACAAATGACATTTGTATAACGCCTTTCATGTCAGTAGGATGTCCTAAAGCGCTGGAACTTTTTGTCTTTTCCACCACAGCTTGTGCAGTCATTCCCATTCAATATACTTCTTTTTTATTTTGCCATATAAACAAAAAGTATTTTACAATGGAGTAAATCCGTTTCTACATTCCTCCTTATAGTTCTAACTGAACCAACCCTGACAGCCGCTCATCTCAACCCCACACGTCGATTCCCTTTACAGTATATTCTGTGAAGTGCTTTGAGAATTTTCGAAGACGTAATAAGGCACTATATCAAATGCAAGGATTATTATCTCAGAAGCTATGCTAAACCATAGGCTGGTAAACATTTGACTCTGCAACTACACTCAACTAGCCCTGGGAGATACTGACATGGCAATTACATTGAACCAGCGCCGTCACACACCAATTGTGCAGCCAAACTAAATGAGTCCTAGCACATTGAAACAGTATTAACACTAAATCAGCCCTGGCACACAGTTATCTCAGTAGCTACACTAAACCAGCCCTGGCAGACACTGACTCAACAATTACAATGAACAACCCCTGGCAGACAATGTTTTGTGCATGCACAGTGAAAAAGCCCAGGTACACACTGACTCTTGGTGAATGCACTGAACCAGTCCTGGCAAATACTGATTATTGCAGCTACCTGTCAGACACTGACTCGGCAAAAGCACTTAACCAGCTCTGGCAGAATCTAACTTGTCATTTTTACTGAACTAGCACTGACAGACATCAACCCTCTAGGGTTACATTGAACTAGTCCTGGCAGACACTGACTGGAACTGCACTGAATCAGCCATGGCAGACACCAACTCTCTGGAGCTACACTGAACATGTCCTGGCAGCTACATTAAATCAGCCACAGGAGGCGCTGACACTCGGCATCTGCACTGAAACAAGAGATGTTGACAATCTTTTATCCCGTCTTTCCTTTTAAATCTTAACATGAACTTTCTGAAGGGTTATAGCTCTATGTGCCCCCACACCCCCACTATCCACTGCACCATTAGTAGCCCCCACTCTCCGTAACTCCATCCCCATCTTTCCTACAACTGAA